TAAATACACTTTACATAATTTTTTTAATAATCTAAAATTAAAATTAAAATTTTAATACATCAATAATGTAATCTTTTTTATACTATCATCCAATCATATATAATTATCATATCAGTAAAATTATTAATTTCTATATTAAATAACGTAAGAAATATATTGATAATGTATTTTAATATATAGATCATGTAAAAATTAAAATTATTTTTAAAAGGTAATAAATTTATTTTAAAGATAAATAAAATAAATTTTAAAAAAATAAATAGTTAAGAAAATATTAAAAAAAATGGTAGCTTTAATAATAATAAGCGTAACACTATAGGAGGGAAGTGAGACGATGGCCCTACAAGCAGTGATAAGGAATAGAGTAACGACGGGACATGTCTTTCCTATAAATTGGCATTCATGGCGTTTGTTGTGTAAGAGAAACCGTTAGAGAACAGAGAACAGAGAACAATGGGTGTGAACTCAAACAGAGTGGACCACTTTGATAGCCATGAAACCGAAAGCACCATCAAAATCCAAACCGAAATACCAATGCCATCGTTGCAAATCCATGCAGTGCGGTTACCACCACACCGAACCACACTCCACAAACTCAGACACAGACTCTCAGAAATCTTCTTCCCAGATGATCCTCTCTACCGTTTCAAGAACCAAACGTGGTTCATGAAGTTCACCCTCGCTCTTCAATACTTGTTCCCCATTTTCCAATGGGCTCCTCAGTACAATCTCACACTTCTCCGCTCTGACATCATCTCTGGCCTCACCATTGCTAGCCTTGCCATTCCTCAGGTTTTTTCATTCAAACATTTCTCTTATTATTATCTATGATAAGATATCATAATATTCGTATTTATTTAACATTTCAACTTTATTACTTCTTTTCAGGGAATCAGTTATGCGAAGCTTGCAAACTTGCCACCTATTGTTGGATTATGTAAGTATTTTTTCTTTTTTGTAATTTTCACATGCCATGGCATTGAGTTATTGTGAATATTATGATGATGAAGAAGTAAGGTTCTAAATGGTTTGAATATATGTCATGCAGATTCAAGTTTTGTGCCTCCATTGATATACTCGCTCCTTGGTAGTTCTAGACATCTTGGGGTTGGACCTGTTTCCATTGCATCATTGGTTATGGGGTCTATGCTAAGTGAGACAGTTTCTTATACTCAAGACCCAATTCTCTACCTGGGATTGGCTTTCACCGCCACTTTCTTTGCCGGGGTATTCCAAGCTTCTTTGGGTATATTAAGGTATTAATTGAAAACATGCATTTTCGGATTATTTTTTTCATTGGGTCGTTAGATTTTATGATTAAAATAAGGTTTTATTCTGTGTTCAGGTTAGGCTTTATAATTGATTTTCTGTCGAAGGCAACGCTGGTGGGATTCATGGCCGGTGCTGCGATCATTGTGTCATTACAGCAGCTGAAGGGGTTACTAGGAATAGTGCACTTTACTAACAAGATGCAAATAGTTCCCGTGTTGGTCTCTGTTTTCGAGCGTAGAGACGAGGTACGGAGCTCCACCATGAGCATCAAATTTGTTCCGTTTGAGTTTAATTTAAGGATGTCTGGAATCAAATTTTTTAGAATTTTTATATAAAATGTTATAAAAACAATTCATTCAATTTTGTTTCGATTAGAGAGGATTGTAAATGATTTTAATATTTGAAAATGATGTATTTGTCTGTAGTCATTTAATCGCTTACCCTATTGCATGATAATAAAGTAAATTACCGATCACTATTGTGTTACTAACGTTTAACTTAATGTATAAATTAATTTAACTCTTTTTTTTTTTATCATGAATACCAAAGATGAAAATTGATTTCTAAATTAAATCATAATTTTTAATGACTTCAAAGCCACCTAAGTTTGGTTTTTGAAATACGAGTAAAATTGAGAAATTAAAAAATAAAAACAGCCACGAAAAACTACTTTGATATTTTTCTGGTCACTGTTTCACTTCCTTCAAAAGGTGAATGCTTATACTCAAGTAAAGCTACCTAGAAAAGAAAAAATTCTTCCCCACCACACAACTCTTTCAAACATTCCGGTAGCACTGATTCTGTTTTAAGAATTTAGCCTATCATTGCACTTCATGATTGATAAGCGAAGGATGGCTATTTATGTTAGATACGTTTTCTTGGAGTATTATATCACATTAAGGAATCATATTCCTTTTTTTTTCTTTTTCTTAGAGAATAATAATCGTAAAAAGATTTATTTTATTTTTTTTCTTCCTTTCTATAATCCTAAATTAAGTGCTAGGGAATTGAGGGTTGCTTTTAAATGAAAGGTACTTGTCAATGTAAGCGTAAATAAATGCATGTTCACTAACTTATTTGAGCAACTTTGCAGTGGTCATGGCAAACCATTCTTCTGGGATTCAGCTTCCTGGCCTTCCTGCTGACAACAAGGCACATTGTAAGTTTCTTTCTGTTGCACAAACACATATATACATGCTACTTACAATTGCTTTGACTACTCAATTTTTTCTCCCTAAGTTCTGACAGTTTTTAATGATTGCAACAGAGCTTGAAGAAACCAAAACTATTCTGGGTTTCAGCAGCTGCCCCGTTGACATCAGTTATTCTGTCAACCATTGTGGTCTTTCTTCTGAGAAATAAGACTCATCATATTGCAGTTGTAAGACAGATACTTGATCATTGGTTTAGTCAGCACGCTACCACTAGTAGCTTCTTTTTCTAATAACTACTTCTCCGTCTATCTCTGGCAGATTGGGCACTTACCAAAGGGCCTTAACCCACCATCATCAAACATGTTATACTTCAGCGGTCCCTACTTGGCTCTTGCTATCAAAACCGGCATTGTCACAGGGATCTTATCTCTCACTGTAAGTTGACCCAAAACTTGTAACACTGTTGTCTATTGTTGGTCACAGAAGATGTCTGATATGCATCCTCTTATATTTGACATAACTATTCGCTTACAGAGGTAACATACTATGCCGTTTTATTTGACTGTCATTGACTCCAATCAAACCATATTTTCTTCTGTTTCAGGAAGGAATTGCTGTAGGTAGAACATTTGCAGCACTTAAGAACTACCAGGTGGATGGAAACAAAGAAATGATGGCTATTGGTCTTATGAACATAGCCGGTTCTTGTTCATCATGCTATGTTACAACAGGTAGTAATTATGAAATTTGACATATGCCTAGTTTTCTTTCGAAGAAGCATAAATTTTGAGAAAGCTTATTTTCTTTTTGAAAAAATATACTTGCAGGATCTTTTTCTCGATCGGCTGTTAACTACAATGCTGGAGCACAGACAGCAGTTTCAAATATAATCATGGCTGCAGCTGTTCTAGTGACTCTGCTGTTTCTCATGCCTCTGTTCTACTATACACCAAATGTTGTTTTAGCTGCCATTATCATCACTGCTGTGGTTGGGCTAATAGACTATCAATCTGCATATAAATTGTTGAAGGTTGACAAACTTGATTTCTTGGCCTGTTTGTGCTCCTTTTTTGGGGTTCTGTTCATTTCAGTGCCTTTAGGCCTTGGTATAGCGGTAAGCTGATAGTTTGTTAATTTTGGGCTAATATATGTAGCATGATAATGCAATTGTTATGTGCAAAATACTAACTGACTTGTCCAAAATCTTTCAGGTTTCCATATCAGTCCTAAAGATTCTGCTTCATGTCTCTCGACCAAACACTTTGGTTTTGGGGAATATACCAGGAACACAAATATTCCACAACATAAACCAATACAAAGAAGCTTTAAGAATTCCTTCATTTCTCATTTTGGCTGTTGAGTCTCCAATCTATTTTGCTAATTCAACTTACCTTCAAGAAAGGTTAGTTAATGGGATCTCTAGAATATCAATTCATTAAGTTCAGCAAGTTGCTTTGAGTGAATCAATGAGCCCATATGATTGAGAGCTTCTCTTGCTACAGAATGCTGAGATGGGTTCGAGAAGAAGAAGAGCATATAAAAGCAAATAATGGAGCTCCGTTGAAGTGCGTAGTTTTAGACATGACAGGTACTATTTCATTGGACTTACACCACGTTATCTAAGGTTTGGGCACATTTTGACTTCACAATATTGTTTTCTCAGCTGTCACGGCCATAGACACAAGCGGGCTTGACACTTTATGTGAACTTAGAAAGATGCTGGAGAATAGATCGCTTCAGGTACAGGCACTAATTGAAATGTCAGAAGGCCTATAAAACTATCATGATTTTCTTTCTAACTTCTACATTTATAATTGGCTACTGCAGCTTGTGTTGGCAAATCCTGTTGGAAATGTGATGGAAAAATTGCATACTTCAAAAATCTTGGATTCCTTTGGATTAAAAGGAGTTTATCTCACAGTGGGAGAAGCCGTGGCTGACATTTCATCACTCTGGAAAGCTCAGCCTTGATATTCCATTATGGGGAGAAAGAAGTAACAGGAACCATCAAACTTAAGGGGATAAACTCTAACCTTAGAAGTTTTTGCCTGCGAGAAATACTCTTGTTTAAATTTCCGAGACAGTCTAATTTCTATTAGTAGAAACCTTGAAAACAACATCACCCCTAAAAAAAGAGAGGTACCTTGAAAATCAAGGACTTTGTCCATTCAGAAAAAAAGAATGCTTCTTATCTCAGGTTGATGGTCATGCTGATGTTAATGTTATAGTTTCTGCTATTTTGACAATTTTGCTTTTTGTAAGAGGGAAAAGAATCCGAGAGGGATGCTTTGATAACATTATTCTTGTAAAAAACTTGAGTGAAAAAAATAAATAAAATTTCTGACGGAAAATGGTCCTCTTACAAAATCCACACTAGTTTAGTTATTAAAACTGTCTAGGTAATACAAATGTGAGACAAAAAGTAAAAGTGTGCAAATTCAAATCTCATAATGCTTTTTACATAATTTTTTTTCTCTCTTCCCATAGGTCTTCACCGAGCTTCTCTAACCATTCCACCTGCGTGGTGGGGTACTTTCGTGAAGATAAAAAATTCTGCATAATTTCTTACTTGATTATATTCATCTTAAAGCTACCCATTATATAAAATGATGTGTTATCATGTCATAAGAGTGATCAGACCTGATAAGTAGTTATCATAATGAAATACGGATAATGATATTATAGTAACATTTAATTAGTCAAGGTTACAAGAGGAGGCCCGACGACATACAAAATAGTAGGACGTAGGACACTTCAGAGCAAACTACTAAAATGGCCAAGCCCCATTTTCTGTTACAATGACCAGATACGTACGCGGATGCAGCAAACCTGGAATACATACAGCATCGTGATTGATTAAGCCAGGAAAGAAGTAAAGAATTTGAACTTGTAAGTTCAAATCCACGAACAGTTAAAAAATTATTACGATTTGAATAAATTTCAGGAGGGTTCAACGCAGTTGCTGTTATTTTATCAAAAGAAGATTGCCGGCATATTAATATCAGACCACGTTAGCAGAAGCACAGCCTTTCAATGAACAATAAATAGAGGAATTTGATTGCCTAAGAGCAAATAAAGTGTCCCTTCTCGTTTTCATTTAAACAAGCTTTAGTACCAAAAGACTAAAAACAAATCAACTAACGTGTGGCTTAGACATCAACATCGTCTTTTGAGGTGGGAAATGAAGAAATCACGGCAACATGCACTTCCAAGATTTAAGGGTGATTTAGCATTTGAAGGTAAAAGAACATTAAAATCTTAAAATTTACTATCTCTATCAACGCGAACCACCAAATGTGCACATGCTTGTCAAATAATCTCGCACACAATTGACAGAGTTAAAATCAAGTCAAAGTGATCCATTCTGCTATTTGACATCCACTTAAAATATATTTTCAAGATTTTGAACAGAACTAAGAACTAAAAAGAATAGGAACACCATCAACTAAATGATCTTGATTAAAAATAGGGAGGAGTGGAGCGAGAAAAAGAATAAGAACAAGTGAACCACTTACTCGACTTTCCAGAAAAATGGTGCACCTAGTCCACTCGAGTTATCCCTTTTTTCTGTCCATGTCCCGTCAAGTTATCTATGATTAAGTCTACTTCAACTAGCAAAGACTACAAAGGAAAATGTAGTTCCTTGAATGACATCCAACGTTAAGCACTCTGTGGGCTCTGTCTTGGGGATCATCCAATGTATAGAAACAACCGCCGTTACCATCCCACAATTCAACTTTTTCTTGACTTCAACATTCAAGTTACCTAAGCTAATCAAACACCTGCAAGGAACTAAACTGTATAAAATCACAGGAATAATCAACCAGTAATTGGTGAAACATTCATAATAGATGAATGATGTTAAATCCAAACGATAGCATCTCTGACAGTTTACAAGAAGAAAATCAAATTGACACGACAATGCAAAGCACAACGCATAAATTCATGTTCTTTCTGAGCATAAATATCCCAATTGAAGAGAAAAAACCAAAACAAAAACAAAAGAGAGAAAGAAATAAGTGCCACAACTTGGGGTGGATTTAAATGCTTGCCTAACATTTGACTTCGACAGACTTCTGAAGCAAAACATACACACAACAAAAAATAACATAACACAACATCTAATATATCACAGATATACAATTTTATAAATGACACACGTCCAATTGACCAGAAACGCGTCCATGAAGGAGAAAGTTCTTACTTGAACGATATCGCGTTATTGGTATCTCCCGGAGTTCTCGCCTTATGCACAGGTATTCACCTAGCAGAGCCATCACAGCGATTCCGGTGACATTCACAACCCACCAAGTTAATGAGGATGGCCAACCCCCGTATACAATGCATATAAAAAGATGAACAATGTAGAGAGTGGCTGAAAAATCCAAGCACTTCTTTGCTCTTTGAATCAAATAAAGCATATACACTGCCCTGCATAATAACAAGGAAAGCAGTACAAATCTTTGAGCTACTAAATAAGAATACTTTCACTAATACTAAAACTAAAAAAACTATCATGAATAAAGAAACACATCAGATAACATAACACAGTCACCGAATAGAATGAATGAGTCGTCAAAGTCCTTACCCTGCAAAGGAGGTGAGGAGAAACGATGCAATGACACACCAACCGGTGATGGTAGAAGTAGTGATGGTAACAAAATCAAAGAAATAAACGAGGCTCATTCTAGAATCGCGAGTTCCAACAAGAATGAACAATAAGAAGCCAAGAGTAATGTAGTATAAGCATTGCAGGCAAACAATTTGAGCAACAATAAGCCAAGGGTCCCATACAACCGCACCATAGAACATGACGCCGTCACCTTAAAAAACCCAATCCGATGAATTCAAATCCCTTCACCTTCAAAACGGATCAAGACACGATCTTCCTAATCCTAAACTCCTAACATCACACCCACTTCCTGATACGAATAAAAGCAATCAAATTTAGAAACTCCAGTTCTCTCCAACCAGCATCACGTGCACTCAGATGTAGAAAATCATCGTAGTAATCGAAATTGAAAAGAGGGGGAGAAGATTCCTACTTTCTAGCAAGACTGTGAGATTTAGATGAAGTAGGAGCAAAATCTGACGAGTTGTGAATTTGTGATTTCTGCGAGACTTTCCGAAAACCTAATCGGAGAAAGAATGAATGAGATCGGCGACACAAGGATTGGCGATGGCCGATGGAGTGAGATGAAATTTTGGAATAACAATTTTTGCACTAAGCAATGTCAGACTCTGCATGTCGTTTATGCTTATTATTGGTCGTTTTGGAAATGCTCTATTCTAAAAATATAATTCCACACATCCTTCCTCTTATCATTTTTTATTTTCATCTTGGTAATATCAGTCTTGGCCCTTGAGACTATTTTTAAAATTCATACGTAAAAGAAAATCATTATTTTTACATTTTTAAAATCAATCCTAAAATTGATGTCAACATTTTCTGATTTAAAAAAAAAAAACTCTCTTTTTATCACCATTTGGTGTTATCTTGTAGATTGAATAATTCCAGTACAATCACATGCATAAAATAACTGATCGGAGAATACTAATAATCCTATTAAATTAATTTAATATTATTTTAAACTTTTAATCAACTGATGCAAGAATTGCCCTGTGGCGCTTTTCATAAGTTATCAATTATTGAAGTAGAACAAATGGTTGATGAGTTATTCAACAAAAATATTGGTTTAACCAATAACGTTAACATGATTCATCATACTTCTTTATCAACAAAAAACTAACAATTAAGACGGATTTTCGCAATGCACATGGAGATGCAATCTCCTAGGACAAATGATTTACGTAATTTCGTTTCATGGTAAAAGCATATTTATCAGCTATACTTAATAGAGTGCCGTAATGTATACATGAGTAGATCCCAAACCCTGAAAAGAAATGGTTAATTACATAGATCAGTTATTCACTGAATGAAGATAAATTAAACCACTCTAGTAGTGCAATTGAGTAAGATACATATATAGCCAAGTATGAGAACAAATTTATCATTCCAAATTTCTGTGCTGACCACACAATGAAACATACAAACCAGTATAGTTAACAGAAATCTCAAGGCAAATTTGCAGTATGATGAAGTAACGAATGAGGTCTAAGCAAAGGTAGAAAAGCAAAATGATAGATAGGTAAAGAAAGGAAAAACTGATGAGCGAGGGCCTGTGGCCTCTTTCAACTCATCTAGTGAACATTATTACAATGCACAGATATGTCGAGTTATCAGAAGGGATAAAACTCTGCCTTTACTAGCTATAACTCACTAAACCGTGAAATATGGTTCTTGAGAACCAGCACACTGAATAATTTGCATTGTAATCGTCCATAGCACAAACAAATCCACATAGACAGATGCTGTCCACATTGTCTCTCAACAAAGTAAATAAAGCAAGTTATTTGGACACAAGTAGACCCGTGAGGAAGAGATCATGGTAACTCGAGTTAGGAGAGCTCTCTGCTGAGTTAGTACTAGTTCTCTCCAATTCCTCCACCGAAATTTCCTCTGATCGACAGTTAAAACTGCAAAATGCTTTCTCATCACTGCAAAATATACAACGTATTACAACTAATGCTTTAGACTTGAGTGAAGTAACAAAAGCATAGAGATATTTGGGACAAACCTGTATCTGTAAATGTCTTCCCCCTTCTCTAACTTCTTATTACATGAGTAACAAAAGCTCAAAACATTGCCAGAAGGATATGGGGCTGATCCTTCAGAAGACGAAGGAACATGAGAAGATCCAAAAGCAGGTTCTTCTTTCTTGCTGAACTCAGTGAAGTCATTGTTGTGACATTCCAAAATGCAGTCACCAAAAATATGTGTTCTCTTAGGGTTTGGACCATGAGAAATTATGCAGGTATAATCCTCTGAAAGCTCTATCTCTCTTGCAGAGAGTGAACCTATATACCCTTTACTAAAATCAATGGATATTGGAAGAGAATTTGATTTAACTTTCAAAACATAATCCACTTGTGAACTTCTGCTTGTCATTGGAGGCAAATTCATTAATGTAGATGTATTTTGTACAAATAAATCATTGGTTCCCAAAATGGAGTTTTGATTTGAGTTGATTAATGAAGAAGGCCTAATGGAATCTGGCAAAGAAGTCATGGTACTTTTGGAAGTTTCAGGTTCCCAATTGCCCTCTCTCTTTCCGGAGACATCATCGAAGTTTTCCACTTCAGATTTGGGACTTCTGGTCTCGGAAGGAAGTGAAATTACATAGTTTTTGGGCAAGGAATTAGATTTCAAATACGATGTAAGGGATTCATGGTTGCTGTCTGAGAATTTAAGGATGCCAGTTTTCACCTGAGGTCCAAAGATTATATTTTTCCTCTGAAATTTACCAAAGATGTCATTGTTAAATTTGGTTTCATTAACAAGTGAACTCACGATGCCAAGACCTACTTTGCTGCAATCAAACTGCTTCTTATGCCCAGTTTTGAATGAAGGTCTAGAAGACTTAACACTAAATGGGTTGCTAAGATTTGAGAAGAGTCTGCAATCCAAAGGAGATGTAGGGCTCCAAACAGATTCAGAATCTGATAAACCTTTTGCACCAACCCCCAACCTAGAACCGGAGGAATGGAAAATCGAGAAACTTATTTGTCTTAGGCTTAATGCATCGCAAGGTAAAGAGAAATTGGAAGAAGAATCAGCCATGAGATTACAAATCTTCCAGATATGATCCTTTTCCCTTCTTCAGCATCATCCTAGTGTTCCATTCCTCTTAAAAGGATGACATCATCATTTCCTTGCTGCAGCAAATTCAAAAAGCTAAAGAAACAACATTGAATTAATTCCAGGCAATAGGAATCATGACCAAAGCGCACAACTACATCTATGCAATGCATGAAACCCGGGCTAAAGCACACAGATATTATAAGAGGAAATGGAACTTTCAAATTTTGGCAATCATTAGAAGCAAGATTATTACAAATTTTAGTAAATGACTAAATGCGCTTCTAGTCATTAAAACAATCGGAAAATCTATTGATAACTTTTGCAACTCACACTCAAAATAAGTGAGTATTAATGTCAATTCCCCATAATGTGATATTTGCTGCAAGAAGAGCAATGGAAGAATCTATACTTCCATCTGAAGTGATAAATTTAGATTGGCGAGTCTCATGAGAATTTTAGCAACTGATCAAATTAAAGCTTTTTCAAACAAAGTGCTTCAAAACAAACTTGGAAAATATAAACTATGAACAATAACCAAGCAACTAGGAGACTAGAAAAACCCAAAAAGGAAATAAAATCAATCGTAAGTTTCTATAGTCCACTGGGTCATTGAAGTTTCCAAGCTGATCAGGATTAATGGTCAGATTTAGAAAAACGGGAAAAGAAGAGTAGAAGAAACTGCAATGGATATATTTTTTGAAGCTCCAAAGTCCAAACCAACAAGTCAGATTTGCAGATGATACCACAAACAAACACATAAAACTGCAACTCCTAAGAAGAATATCACAATCAAACATCTTGGTTGCAATTGCAAAAGATCTTTTCATTATCTTTTTTTTAAAGAGTATTCATCACACGCTCCAAAAACAACAATGAAATCAACTTAGACAGAATCTGATATTTTCCCAAAACAAAATATGATCGAGCAATCTCGCTAAAGCATCAAAAGGTTTCTGATTATTACCCAAAAAAATCTATCTTCCATAAAAAAAAATAAAAAAATCATTACACATTCTTTAGAATGAACAACAAAACCATTCATATACGTTTGAAGAAGAAAAAAAATTAAAAAAATCCCAGAATGCATCTGATTGGTCAGAAATGAAAGCAGACAAATTACTGTAGAGCGACCTACTTTTCTCAATCCGAGAAACCCAAATGTGGAAACATTGCAGTGATGAACATCAGCAGCAAAGGCCAACCCTTGTTCACACTTACTACATAACATAACTCTGTTCACATTTTTCTTCTTCCATTCAATCAGATTTTTTTCAGTTTTCACCTTCTTCACCTGCATGCATCAAAGTCAGAGAAACAGTGAACTCCTTGAGTCTTCCAACGTACTCTCTCTCTCATCTCACACTCATGATTGTGAGCTACAAATACGGACAACGCTTGTACGCCGTATATTATATAAAATTATGCACATTTCTTATAATATTTATTAAATACATTATAAATTTTCAATAACGTAACCCCGTCTCTTTCCGTTAAACTTGTAATCTACACTACATTAAAATTTAAAAAACATATATACGATTTTTTTAATATGCAAGTAACAACGTAAATAGAAAATTAACTCATAATATTTTTTAAATAATTATATGTATAAAAATTTATTTCGTATGCTTAGACATATATTAAAATTTTAATATATTTCAATAAAAAAATTATATTAATAAATCTTATATTGTAAGTAAATTATTTTTCTATTAATGTTTAACAACGTATGATCATTAAACGTTAATGGTGCAGATAAAAAATAACAAAATATTAACTATACTAAGCCTTTATTAACATGTTGGACTTAGATTCTCTATCATTAAATGGCAATTGATTCGAGTAAAGCTGATATTTTATTAAATAAACTAATAAATTAAATATAAAAATATAAAATGATAAATTATATTTTTATATAAAAAAATTATATTTTTATTAATAAAATAAAATATAAAAAAATAAATTAAACTATTATAATTTATATTTACTTTTACATCATAAATAACTTTATTTAAAATATGATTTTTTGTGGCGACACTTTTTGTAATTCTACAAAACTTTTATTTAGAATCATTAGTGATACATTCAAAATCTAATATTAAATTCCATGAACAAACAAGTGGGGGTAATAATTTTTACTAATTTGGAATTAATGTATTCTGATTTGTTTAGTGATTAAATTGAGGTGCTTTCCTTGTTGAGAGGGTCGCCATAAGCCAAAAGCTGAGCGGGGCATCAAAAAGTAACTGACCAACGTCCACAACTTCATATTTTGTGTGGGTCCAATTAACCACGTAATAATGGCTATGGAGCCCAATACAAAATAATAATAATAATATGTAAAGATATTATAATGTTTATTTTATTAAAAATACAATATTTAAGTATTTTAAATAATAAATCAATATATCAGCATTAAAATTAATTATATATTATCTAAGTAAAACTCTAACTTAAATTTAAAAATAGAGCACTTATTTTTAAAAATTCATTTATTAACAAAATTTGAATACTGAAATGTGAGCAAACAGCATGGGGGTAACGTCACCTACCTTCATGATTTTGCGGGTCCCTTTTTGTCTCGCCCGTGTTTCAAAGTTTGCTCTATTGTCTTCTTTCTAGTTACAAATTTAATTTTAATCATTTTTAATGAAATGTTTCATGTCAATTTTTAAAATTTCGATAAACTAATTGATTATTCAGTGTGTCTCTAGTGAATTTAATTAATAAAGTAATTTTTATAACATGATAATTTAAATTTCCAAGAATTAACGAAAATTAATTTTTTAACTATTTAATTTTACGAGATTTAAAAGAAAACAAATTAATTTTGACAAGATAATTACTAAAAAATATTTATTTAATTAATAAATAGATCAATGTGTTTGACAAAACTAGTAAAAAAAAAAACTAAAAAAAGTTAGAAGGTGTGAACTGATAAGTTAGCTGATAAAATGATAAAATATAAAATAACTAGTACAAATTAACATTGAAAAAACTATAATTAAATAGTGAGGACAAACAAAACAATAATAAATTAAGAGCTTAAAACCTTAAATGCAACATGAAGAGTGTATTTGGCAAGACTGTCTATGGTTTTTTTAAATGGTTTAAAAGTTTTTTTACTTGATAAAGAGTATATTCAGTAACATAAATTTATGATTTATTTAAAATCTTATGATTTTTTAATCGATTAGTAAAGCTAATTGGTAAAATAAATAAATAAAACTTATAAATGTTAAAAGTTAATTTTATCACATAACTTTAATTCAGTCAGATGACTCGGAAATAAAATATTTGAATCAACTTATTAATCATAACTTATAAATTATTAATTTTTTTAATCTAATTTTTCTAAACAGTAAACGAACTTATTTTAAAATAGTTATTTAAAAATTTTCATTATTTTACATTTGTTTATTTTATCTACAATTTTTTTCACTTTAAATATAAAATTAATTATTACAAACTGTTTCATGTTGTTTCTAGATTTTGTCATAAAAACATTTTAAATAATCCAAACTATTTTTTATTTAACATATTCAAACATAATTTTTATATACATAATTAATATAATAACATCCAAGCTTATTGATAATTATAATTCTAACTTTTCACACAAAAAACTTTAACCACAATTTCGAGGTTTCGATTTAATTTTTTCTCTTAATAATCATAATTGATTAATGTTATGTGATTTTCTTTTTTCTTACCCTTTTAAAACAAATTTCTTACTATTTTAGTCTAAATTAAATGGTGAAGTTAATTTGCATAAAAGATGTTACAGATTGATATGAATTAATTTTCATTGCAGGTAGATGAAGATGTGGGCTTGAAAAATGCGTGCGGGTAAAGCAGGGAAGTAATAATAAAATTAAAAAGGGAAAAGGGTTATCACAGCCACACGGTTCACGTTAGCAACGAGCACCATCTATCTGTACGACTTTTCGTTTGGGAACTTGTGATTATACTTTGCCAATTCCCAGAACCAAAATTGCGTTTCTTTCAGGTAAGAGTGTTCCCTCGAATATGTTACTATTATTGCGTTTATCTCATCAATGAATTCGAATCATAATCATACGTTTCTCTGATTCAATTTTTTCCCCTAAATTCAATATATTCACCGTTGCTTCCATACAAGAAAGATACTGTGAATTATAATCTATTCAGAACCAATTTTCAATGTTGTGGTTGAAATTGGAGTATATATGTACTATACTACAATCTATATTCACTCACTTTTTTAAGTGATAGCTGTAGTTTAAGCTTTAGTTGCCTTGCAAGTTGCAACTGTAAATTGTTTCTGAATGGAGGGTATTGAGGATGGTGCAAGAGCAAGATATCCCTCAAACTCATCATATGGTATTAGTCACCACCCAGGTTATGGTTATTTGAATCAGCAGAAACTTCCTATCAGGAATTCTCCATATTCCCACTCTGTTGCTAATGAATATGGCCGCGCTAATAATAATAATGAAGAAGGTGAAGATGATGACCAAGAGCAGTTAGGAGGGGATGATGATGATGTTGATCAAAGGAACACTGTTCAGCTTTCCCAAAAGGATGCTGATGACAATGATGGTGAAGAAGATGAGATGGTTGGGCATGGTAATGAAAATGATGATAACAATAACAATGATGGTGATGATGAGGATGACACTAAGCAGAAAAGTTATGTCATGAAGACTGAGGATGATTTAGAGTGGCACCCAAAAAAGCAAAAGCTGAAGAGTTTGATTTCAGCTTATGAACTTGCTCCTCGGGTGCCAGCACCATCAGCTTCAGCTCCTAAACCATCTTTTGGGGGTAGAAATTCCCTTACTGACTGGACTGAGCAAGAGACATTTGTTCTTCTTGATGCATGGGGTGATCGGTTCCTTCAACATGGAAGGAAGAGTCTTAGATCTGAGGAATGGCAAGAAGTTGCAGAAAAGGTATCAGAAGTTTCAAAAATTGAGAAGACAGATACTCAGTGTAGAAATCGTTTAGATACATTGAAGAAAACATACAAAAAAGAGAAGGTTAAGTTTCCAGAAGGGGATGGTGGAGCTAGCAAATGGGTTTATTTTAAAAGAATGGATAGGCTGATGTCTTCTCCCCCGCAACAAGCAGGTCTCTCTTGTGGTTTGGACTCAGGAGAGTATGTTTTTATGAACCCTGGTGTTTATTTGAACCGTGCAAATGGGTTGGATGAAATGAGGGATAGTCCTGAGAATACAGAATCTACCGGTGAAGAAGGTTCTGATGATGGACCTCAAGCAAAGAAAAGAAGGAAAGGAAGGGGAAATGATGGTGTTTCTTCCTTCAGATTACTTGCTGGTTCCATTCAGAAATTCAGTAAGATATATGAGAAGATAGAGAATAGTAAAAGGCAGCAGATGGTGGAACTGGAAAAGATGAGGATGGGTTTCTATAAGGAATTGGAAACGCAGAAGAGGCAGATTTTAGAAAGATTGCAGAGTGAGATATCAAAACTAGAGCAGAGAGATAATGAGAAGGATGATTCTGCTGAGAATTTGTGACGTCTTATGCATTATTATTCCCATTGTTGTGTAACATTAAATGTAGACACTAGACAGCTAGTTGTATCATATTTGAGGCATTTTGCTGCTTCTTGCCAGCAATGTTGCATTTTACTGGAATGAAAACTGGACAGTCGATCCATGTTATCGTTACCGTTTTTAGAATTGTACTCAACGCCTGTCTAGTCTAATGCTCTGCTTTCTCACATCAAAATTACTAATAATGTTGGATGATATGAATTACTTTTTACAATATGAGTTGACATTTTTATTTTTATTTTTATTTAAAAAAACTTGGATCGCCCATGTATGGTTATTTACACGTGATTGACTGATTGGTCACATTTCATTTAAACAACTTTTATGGAAAATTATATACAAATAGCATTGTTCCCAATTTATTGTCTGGTTTATATCAAGTTAGATGGATGCCCCCCATTTTTTGTCTGGTTTACGTCAAGTTCAGATGGATGTCGTTTATGCAGTTCGGGCTATCTCCACCATGTTCTTGTCAAACCCTCCATCACTGTACTAGTAATGTGAAAGGGGGTTTACTACTGTTTTAATTCGGCAGTCACCAACAATCCATTAGCCTTAGAGTAAGGATTCTATATTCTGATCCCTATTCCGATAATTTCATATGGTTTTACATTTTTTTGCTATATTTAACGAGATCTTTTGTTAATACATAACACAATCTTTTTATATAAATCACATCACTTTACCCCCATCCCCATAATTTAAAATCTAGTTGGAAAAAAAAAGGTTTTCATCTGTTCTTTTCACCTTTTAAGATGGAGAAGTACATTGATATAATCCGGTTAAAGTTGACTCTTAACATCACTAATTAATTTAGATGGCCTTTCAGACTCCAAGTAACTTTTGGACAAAAATAAAAATAAAATCTGTAGGTTACTTTAAGGCAAAGCAAAGAGTTGTTATCTTAGGTCTGTACGTCAAACCTATCTATGGTTTGACATATGCATACAAATACTTTTTAGTTGGAGGGCATCCTTAGGACAGGGAAAAGACAACGACTATCAAATGATGAAGAAGAGTGATAAATAAATTCACAACAACGATAGAAGCTTTTGTCCACCAATTTTTTAACATATATACTGTGTGATATATGTTAAATTTGGACCATATGGGAATATGAGTTACAAAGAAGAATAATTGATTTGACCTAGTGATAGACCCCCTATAACTCACTGTCTGTAGATGAACACAAAGCGAAGATTTTTTTCCCCTCCTTCCCCTCTCCAATAAAGAAATAAGGTAGAAAGAGAAACATGTTATGAAATATAAAATTGACGCGCTTACTCTGAAGCACAGCCATGTCCGCAATATTATACAAAATCTTTTTTCCCAACGTTATTTGGTAAACACTAAGAAGAATTGACTCAGAATCCGACTCATATTTATGCATGTTCCTATTGTTAAGGCAAATAATGGAATATATATTGACCACCGAGACAATGAATGATACGCCCGTCGTATATTTCAAAGCTCTATATATAACTTCCAATAGTCTGCAATTGAAATTGTATTAGAGTGATATAATTCATAAACATTTTTTACAACCCTCTTTATAACATTTTTTTCCTCTCTTTCTGTAACATCAATCTTCTTGCCTACATTTTTGCATTTATTTTACGAATTTATTGCACAAAAACAATTTCTTATTGTGTTTAGAAGCCTCGCCAACAACATGCGCCCCAATATTAGAATATTCCTCAACGGCTCAATATATTAAAAACAAACCAAATATGATGTAGAAGATGAAGTAAATGCTGTGTATCACCGGTTCACTACCATCATGCTTACTTGTGTCCGCTCTTTATACGAGGCAAAGACAGAAAGGAATATGGTAGTGATAATTGCATGAGTATGTGTAGAAATAATGCAAATTCTAAGCTAATAAAAAGTTAAGTGGAATTTAATTGTTCTTTAATTGCCCATAAAACGGATTGCGAAGCGTGTGCAAGTAATGTATTCGTGTATGTATTAATAAAAATAAGCTCTGTGACGCAGCTTAAGCGGCTGCTGATTAATATCATCAGAACTTTTTCCTATTAAAAAATTGAGATCCACTACATTTTTCAACTTTTCTAAACAATAATATATGAATATTTTTTATGTTGTTTTTTGAAACAGAATATACAGAAAAATGTTTTTTTTTTCAACAGTTCCTAAACCTTGCCTTCAAAAAATTCAATTCCGACCTTTCAAAATCATTAGTGCAGAGCCACTCAAAAAGGTAGTAACAAGTTGCTCTCATGACTCTACCATATTACAATCTTCATCAACTTTACCTACTGCCTCAAGTATTGAAGAGTAGGTGATGAGATCATACTGGAATCCTTTGGAACTCATTTCTTTCATAAGTTTTGCAGCCTCTTCAAACAGACCTGCTCGGCTAAGACACCCAAGAATGGTGTTGTAAGAAACTGCATCTGGCTTAATTGTAGAGTTCTTCATTTTTGTAAACATTTCCATAGCACGCTTTGGGCCACCCGTCCTAGCCAAGCCATTTAGGATGATATTATGAGAATTTATATCTGGGATGCAACCATTTTCTTCCATAGTTCTAAACAAGGAGAAAGCTTCATCCATCATATCTGCCCTAACCATCCCAGTCATGAGAGCATTATAAGCATAAACATCAGGGGTGCATCCAAGTTTCTTCATCTCATTAAAAAGACTGATAGCTTCGTTGAGTCGCCCACATTTTCCAAAATGCTTAATCATTACAGCATACACACGAGCACTAGAATCTCCACAGTTCTCTTTCAATTCCTGAAACAGCTCATTTGCAGCCTCATAGCGCTTGGCTATTCCAAGGGTATTGATCAAGCTGCAGTAGGCAGCAGCACAAGGAGGAAAGCCCCTTTCATCCATTTCCTCAAGAAGCAACAAAGCCTTCTCAACTCTATTTGTTTTGCAGAAACCATCAATGAGAATAGAATAAGTAAATGAGCTGGGGTCTACACCATCTTTTTTCATCCTCTCAAACCATAAAGAAGCTTCAGAAGGTGGAGCTTTGGCCTCAAATAAAGATTTGATAATGGTATTGTATGTCACAACATTAGGTGTGCAATTCAGCAATTTCATTTCATCAAAAAGCTTAATAGCATCTTTTAAGCAATCTGATCTTCCCAAAATGTTAATCAAATTATTCATCAGGACAACATCAGGTTTACAACCATCTTTCAGCATATTCTTGTATGTTATATATGCATCTTCAACCCTCCCAGATTTCCCTAGCCCCCTTATCAATTCTGTATAAGTATAGACAGTTGGGGAACACCGTCGCATTCTCATCTCCTTTACAAGATCCAAAGCTTCCTCAACCTTACCCAACTTGAAGTATATTCCCATCAACGTTGTATATATTTTTGCTGTGGGCTCCAATCCATTCTCTTTCATCTCATCAAATAATCTAATGGCAGAATCATCACGATTTAGCTTTGCAAATGTTGATATAAGTGCACTGTATGTAATTGTGTCAGGGAAACAATGACCCTCACTGCACATTTCATTATACAGCTCATGGACTTTTTCATGATGCCCCTCTTGCATCAGCATCAAGATAACTGAGTTGTAAGTCCTTGCCGTAGGTCTACACTTGCGACCCTTAACCTGGTAAAAGACAGACAGTGCCTTGTTGACCATCTTAGCCTTGCCCAAGATTTTCACAATCTCAGACAGTTCAGAAGGACCAATTGCACATGAACTTTTAACCATGTCTTGTATTGTCTTCCACAGTTCACCAAACATCCTATTTTCATCCAAGCAGCGTATCAAAGCCATATAAGTGGTTGAATCATGTTCAAAATTCCTCCTCTTCCCAGCCCACTTAAAAAACTGAATCTTAACATTGACCTCAATATCTATCTTTAGAACCTCACGAACCAAGCGAGCATCGACCTTCAGCTTCAGCACTTCCAAGGCCTTTTCTGCATCAGACCCCCATTTAAATATTTTTAAAATCCTAATGAATCTCTCATCCAATGTCCGAGCATAAGGGTCTTTCCTCAATACACATCCTTTCATGGCAAGGTTATGGTTTTCCTCATGGGAATTAGGTAAGCGAAACATTTGAACAATCTCGTTTTCTGCTAGTTTAAACCACACTCAATCAGACATGATTACAAGCTACATATATGTAAATGAAATCATTTACATAAAATAATTAACAATGAAAGGGGCATCAACAATAACAGCATTCATTTGACTAAGAGAACACGAACACAAACCTGTTTGCTTTATTCTCTGAGAGAGAGGAGGCCAAGTTGAGATCATCCTCCTCGTACCAATGGATCCAGCAAGCATTGTTGCTACCCCAGAAGGCTGAATATGCCTCCGCATGACTCGAGCTTTATGCTACGCCAAAAGCTATCAACTTGCTTTCCTGAAACAGAAAGTAACAAAAAATTTTCCCTTCTGTCATCTGATTTGGTTACCATGGATTTGAAAAGCCCTTGCAAAAGGGCAGTTCAATCAAAGTTCAAACGGTAGGAATTGAACCTCCTTCGTTACTGGAGTCGCAGATTTCAAATTTCTTCGCTAATATTCTCAAAACTGAATCATAACTTTCGCAGTCCTTCTCTTTCTTGTTCACTCTTCACACTAACAGCTGAAAGCCGAAGAAAAAACAAAAAAGCGTTTTTGCAATTTGCAAACTAACTGGGCTTTTATCACATGAGCTTGTTAGTAAATTTTGGGCCTAGTTCTGTGTCGGAAAAAAAATGTGCGCATAATAATAATAATAAAAAATCTAAATTAAAATGACGTTAATTATATTTAGGTTAAAATTATTAAAATATTTTTATTTCAAAGAATGAAAATAATTTAACAAAATGCATTTTAACCTAGCTTTACCTTGTTGGTTAACATAACCTTAATTATAATTAGCATTTTTTCCCTTTTATTAAAATAGATACTGAGGGAATCAACCATTCAACATCACAAAGGAATTACCGACGATATCGTCCGTAAACTGAAAATGGAGGATCCACCAAAACCACTTTACCAAATACACAGTATAAAATATAATCAGTCACTATGTTGGCACCATTCTAACTTTATATCACCTAAGTTAATAAAAGAAAAACTACTTCGATTGAGTCAATAATAAACTATCTTTAAAACTCGGTCTGTTTCAACTTCTATTTTTACGAAAAAGATTACTTTTACTTTAATATTTAATGAGTTTATTTATAAAATTTAATTATTAAATTAAAAAAATCAATTTTCCTATAAAATAAAATAGTTTCTGACAAATAAAGTGCAATTCTATTAAATATAAAAATTATAATTATAACCAACAAAAAATAATTCCATTTCAGATAAGATTTATATGTGTATAATAACTCAATTTATTAAATAATAAAGCAGTGTCAAGTTGAACACCATTATAATAGAACTTAATATTAAAACACAAGAATTCAGCACGAGTAATAAAGTTTGTAACCATGAAAGGTTTATATACCAAACGAATCTCAATAACTATTTTACAAATAATTTGTAAAAAAACACTAAATTTTGTTTTAAGTACAACGCTTTATGTTTAAACTCAGCGTGCTACGAAAAAATTAAAGAAATTATTAGCAAACAATTGTCTATATATCAATCGAGTAGAAAAATATATAAACTTGAATTTTCATCCAGTTTGTTAATGGAATCCGCACCCGAGAACTTATATCCAATTAAAACTCGGTGGCGAACGATACTCGACAATTCACAACACGGCTTACGGGCAATAACACAAAATGAAGCCAAATAGAAAAAACTAATGCCACGCAAAAGGAAAATTGGAGTCTTAATGTAAATGAAAACAAACATCGTAATTCCCCCTTGTAGGAAATGGTACACAAATAATCTAAATCTAGATAACGTAAATTTGAAAATGAAAAGAAAGGAAAAAACCCGGGTCCAAAGACCATAGTATTTAAATAAAACTTGCGTAACAATCCAGCAGAGAGGGCTCTACAAGAATCCCAGCAGCCACTCCCAATCAACTCACCCAAAGCTATTTTCCCAGTAACAATTCATATTGTTATACAAAAGGTAGAGACTATTGGATTGAACATGCGAAATTCAGAGCAAAATCAACAAAAATTAGGCAGTGCCTGTGTTCTCTGATTTTTCAGTCTCCATCGGTTCAGCAGCTGCTGGCGGGGGGACTGGATTACCACCCTCCCCAGCATCCTCATTTGGGCTGGCATTAGCATTCTCCGTTGGTGGTTCTTGCTGTTGCTGCTGCTCACCACCCTGAGTTGGTGGGGTTGCCGGTGCTTCTGGAGTGGCTGGCTTGGGTGGAGGAGGTTTTGGTTTCGTCATAATCGGCTTACAGAACCTATAATTGAAATAGATGAACGATGAACATTAGTTAAGAAACAATGATAACAAAAGCAATTCAGAAAGCGACCCAAATTGATCTAAACAACAAAAACAAGTACCTGTCAACAGCTTCAGCTTTCTTTCTTATGTCAGCTGAAAAGAGTACAGGGTTGGCGTATTTTGGAAGCGAGTCCTGTTGCTGCTGCTTCTCTCTAAGCCAGTTCTCAGCTTCCACACATTCATTCAAGACCTGCGAACAAACAGAACACTTTCAGATTAAATGGCAACCACAAACACAAGTGTGTGTGAGAAAATTCGCAGCTACCAATTACCTTCTGTTTCTCGTTGATGTCAATGTGATCGAATTTGGGATCATTTGACATTGCAACTGCTCTGTAACTATTTATACAATAGGTGAGCTGATCAATTACAGTACCCCTCTCCATGTATTCTTTGTAACGCTCTTCAATTGGATCGCCTTGCTGCAATCGTGTAAATATCCATTAAGATTACAAAAACAAAAATTAACATGGCAAATATCTCTTTGTCTTGTGTTTTTGCATTGCACAATAGCAGTAGAAAGGCAACACACAAGTTGGTTGAAAATAACCTGATATGAATTGAAATAACCACCACCCAACCTTATCATAACAAGTCAGCTAGGTGAAAATATTCTCTATTCCGTAAAGTCTCTTACCTTCTTAAGCTCTTCTAGTTTGGCTATGTATACACCTTTAGTTTCATCTTCACCATCCTCATATAGCCAGTCTTCCACCTCCTGAAGTTTTGCAGTAAAGGCCTCTCTCTCTGAGTCAGTGACAAACTCGTGGTATTTGTCATTAAGCTGAAATGACAACAGGTAATTAGTTTCGGTGACAATCAAATACTCCACCTTAAATAATGAGAAAAACATGACAATCATCACCTTGTTTCTCATGTCATAAACATATGCCTCTACTGCATTTTTCTTGTCTTTTGTTTCCTCCATCACTCGATCTTGCAAGGCCATTTCAAACTCCTTCTCTACAGCTTTCTGGACATCCACAGAAGCCATCGTCCCATAAACTAACTCTGCCACAGGAACATTTATTTTCTTCACTTTTCTCTTTGGCTCAACCTGTTATAAGCAAAACCAATCAAATTACAAACTCACAAAAGACCATGCACGACATATAAATTGATATATAAAATCCAACAAGCACCTAATATTTATATACAGGAATGATCATGCTTTGCAGTATATTTATAGGAAGGGGAGTTTATTTTCTTTATTTTCGAAAGTATATTCACAATTTCTTTGAAAAAATTTGGAAAATAATAAACAACACAAAAACAAGGAGTCCTTAATAAAAAAAATAAAACAAACAGAACAAGCTCATATACCAGAAAAAGAGAGAGAAAAAAGCATTAATTAAATACAAGCTGATAAAACTCAAACTCAAGGAAGTACCACAATAAACCTTAACAATCAGGTCATATTTACCAGTTTTCAGAAAAATGATCAAACAATTCATGTTGTTATACTATCATCTTACTTAGTCATAAAAAATCTAAGTTATAATTCATTTGAAGAACTTAAACCCCTAACTCTAAACACAATCACTTAGCAATAGCATTATATTGATGTGAATACTACTCATCTAATTTCTGAAACGGACTCATGTTGAAAATTGAGCAATGACCTGAAAAAAAAAGGTATTTCAAGCATATGCTTAAATGTTGCTTTCACCACTAACCTTGGTATCAGTATCCATCTGTACAGGCTTATCTCCTGTCTCAGGGATGCCATTTTCAGCTCCAGGGGCATCAGGAGTTGCTTTGGCATTAGCATCTTGCATATTAACATCGTCGTCATTGGTGCTAGGAGGTGCAGCAGCATCAGCAGGAGCTTCATCAGTTTCCATCTTGGCATCTTCCCCAGCTGTTTCTTTGGAAACTGGAACCTCAATTTCTTCCTCTTCCAGAAGCTTAAGAAAAACAAAAAGGAAATTAGGAAAAGAAGCTCTACAGTTTACTATCATAGCATCACATGATAACTATAATGGAAAAATAATAAAAAGCAATCACCATGCCTAAAGATACTTACAGTTGCTGACTCGACAGATACAATTCCATGCAGATTCAATCGAACTTTCACTTTAATTTTTGCCTTTTCACTTGTTGTAGATTGGAAAGGACCAATCTGCAGATATTTAAGTGCATTTAAGAGTCAAAGGACAACCAGGAACACACACAGTGCTCACATTTGTGCATGCACACTAGTGTGATGATAAAGGAGAATTTGAAAACCAACTTACAGTATATGTGCTGATCTTTGCAGGTGTTTGCAAACCACTCACATCATCATATTGAACATCAATAGAAAAGGTTCCTGGCCTGTAGATTGTCAGTGCCTTAACACTTGGTATGGGATTTCCCTTGGGGAAAACAAGAGTGCTTTGCTTATTATCTGGTCCACTTTCCTGTACATCAGGACCAGAACCTTTCCACGAGAGAGAAATTGAGAAAGGAAAGCTTTCATGAACCTTCACATCAAAAAATTAAATGGCAACATTATATACAAATACAATGCAAAGAAATAGTAATTAATAAGTACAAATATGCTGAAATTCAAAAATATAAATAATCTAAAGCTGAGGCAGATAGCCAGATAAAAGAGACAACCAATTTGAAGGGCATAACATACCAGAAAATGTACAAAACAAAAGCTGAAATTCACAATTCGTAATGATCTGAACAGTTTTACATAGAATAAATTTGAAACATAGCAGAGGCCCTTCTGAAATAGAGAACAATATCGTGGAGAAAAATTACCTGAAACTCTCGTACTTTAAAAGTTGGACTAAGAATTGCACACTGCAGTGCGCAACCCCTGGCAACACACTCACTAGCATTCATTGTCCTCCTAGGCTCCTTTTTGAAAAACTCTGTCAATATTTTGTTTATAGCTGGAACACGAGAACCAGAACCAACCACCTCAACAGTGTGTACATTCTCAACTGTGAGACCTGCTTCTGCAAGTGCCTTCTCCAGCGGCTCCTTTACTCGTTCCAAAATTGGAAGACTTAGTTGCTCAAACTCATCCCGCTTGATATAGCCTCTGACATCCTTCTCATCCATTAAGCACTCAATATTCAGAGGTGCCTCTGGGTTTGCACTAAGCACCTTCTTCAGCTTCTCACAAGCAGCCCTCAACCTTAGACTAGCCCTGGCATTCTGGAATACATCAATCTTGTATTCCTCCTTAAACTTTGCAGCAAAATGATTAAACAGAACCTCGTCAAAGTCCCTGCCACCCAGAGACCTATCATATGAATGGGACAACACTTTCAGCTGCCCCTTTTTAAATCCAGCAATGCACACTTGCATGCTAGCATGTCCAACATCAACAAAGGCAACATTCAGCTGATCATTTTCAGGAAGATCAGTCTTGTAAATTCCATAAGCCAAGGCAGTTGCTGTTGTTTCGTGAATCAAGCGAAGTGGGTGCAAACCTGCAATAGTGGCTGCATCCAAGACTGCTCTCCTCTGAAGATCAGTAAAATAAACTGGAATTCCAATGCAGCAATCGACAACAGCTGCATTCAGATTTTTCTGGGCTATTTCCTTAAGGTTTGATAACATCATTCCCCAGACTTGAGTAGGTGTAAAGGCTTTGGCTTCACCCAAGTACCGTGCATGAATCAATGGATATCCATCTGGTCCTTCAGTGACAGCAAAAGGCAATGACTTCAGATCCTGCTGCAATTCTGGATCAGAAAACTGTCTACCAATTAACCGTTTTATCTGTGAGATCGAATTCTTTGGGTTCATCATAGTGGATGAAGCCCCAGCTGTCCCAAGAAACCGCTGCTTGTCACCAAAGCATACAACTGCAGGTGTTTCACGCTTGGACTCATCATTGAGCACAACATCAATCCCCCTTTGCCTCGCAACAGCAACAATGCAGCTTTCGTTACCAAAATCAAACCCAACCACGCTCATCTTTGGTTGATCTCTCAGCCAAAAAGAATATCTATAAAAGGAAAGTAAACATGTCACATTTAAACATCAAGCATAGATTGTAATTTGCTAGTAATAATGTAATAAAAATACTTAAAAGAGAAAAAAAAAACGAAGACAAACAGAAACATCATCTTGGCAATCAATCCAGCTCATGTGTTATCACAGCTAAATAGCCAGTAGTCATCAAATACAACAGTAATTCAAATAAACTCAACCAAAACAGCATAACATTCAGTTCCAAAAACACCTCAAGTAAATCTAAACATTTTCCTTCGATCTAAAAATAAACACTAGATAGTCCATCTGCATCGAGTATAAGAAGCTATGTACTGGATATCAAATCATGCAATCCTTTCCATCCCAAATGTGTACTAACTTACCTAAATACACAAGTACGAAAGAAAACAACAAAATCTAAATATAAAACAAACTTCGGATGAATCACGAGCAAGTAAAAGAATTGCAGAGGAAATGCATGAATAAAACAGCGAGAAGAAGCAGATCTAAGGTGAGAGAAAGCAAAAGGAACGGTTAACAGAAGGGGTGAAGAAAAAGGGTTTACCTGGTAAAGCGATCGAAGAGGGAGAGAGGAGGAGGAAAGGGTTTTGGGGGTTTCTGGAATAATCTGAAACCTTTGTAAAGCAGCAGCGTATTAACGGACTAACGAAGAGACGGTACTTAAAAGAGGGCTTTGCTTTGCCTGGGGGCCGCTACGGAATTTTGTGTTTCTATTTATTATTTCTTTTATGACCTTCCCACTTATTAAAATTACCAGTTTTGAACGAGTTTTCAAGGAAACAAAAGACGTGCTTCATTGGTCCCAGAGATGTCTGGAGGATCCTGCCATCTTCTAGAAACATCCACGACTCTTCACTCCCATCTCTCACCAGTCAAGCCTCAAGTTCTCTCTCTCTAATTTTTTTTTTACTAAAACCGGCAAATTGGGCTTTTGACGGCTTTTGTCTAAAACGAAAATCCCATGGATCTTGGGCCTTCTTTTTATTTTACTCCTCTAATAACAATAATAGTTAGGGATCACAAGTTATATTTTACACTTTTACTCAAACTTTTTCCAAAAATTATCTCTATTAACATTTAAATAACAATCTCTATCGATTCTGAAATACTCCTAATATTTCTAAAATTTCTTCAAGTTATCTTTGTTTTTTCATTATAGTTTTAAAATTAGTTTTTTTTTTCCACTTCTTCCTAGACTAATAATTATATGAAATGAAAATGTGGGTATTAGTTCTGATGAGCAAAACCAAGAAAAGAGATGGGAAATGCTGCAAGAAAGTGCGCGATAACTACTGAAGTTATAGCCATTGTACTTTCCACTAGGCAGCAAAAGAGACTGACTCTTGTAACCAAAATAAAATCTTGTATGCCAAGTGATCTCTCCAAGTTCGTAGAATATTGTTTCCATTTCAGCCAATGAGTATACAACTGCGTTTCCCCAGAGTAATACTAAACATGTGATTAGCCTTCTATTTTAAAATGCTATTAAGTTTTTTAAAACAATGGTGATGGTATCCTCTTACTGTCAACAAGTGAATGTTCATAGAATACCTTTTGGGCTCATCACCACAGGTTTAATGTTGGTGACAAAATATAAATATTAATAAATTGCGTGTTCATTATAAATTTAAAAATAGTGCAATGATTAGTAACATGAAGATATGGAAATAAAGAAAGAGATATGGTTTTGAGGTTGTTAAAATTATAACTTAACATAAATAAATGTTTGTAAACTTCTTGTAAAATCATAAGAATTTATTTTACACAAAAATAATATAATTTTATTACCTTAATTGTAAATATAGTGTTTTACAGCTTTTAAAGAAGAAATAAAAGTGATATAAGTGATGTTATTTTAGCGCAAAAATTGTAATTGTTTATTTATTTTATTAAACTTGTAAAATAAAATATAAATTCATAAGTTTACAAATAAAAATATGAGTTTAACAATTATGATTTGTAATATTTAGTTGATAGAAAAAATAGTTACGAGAATAATATTTTTGTGTTAAAATATAATTAATATACATATCTCAATCTTATAAATTGTGCATGCGTGTGCATATATATATAAAATAAGAAAGAAAATAAAATCTAAATTTTAAAATATTCACTTTCATTTTTAATTATATACATTATATGGAAAAAATAATTTAAAATTTAAAATATTTACTTCTACTCTTAATTAAAAGTATTATTAAAATATTAATTTTGATCGTAATATTTTATATATTAAATTACTATTTAATTTTTTATTTAAATATAATTTTATAAATATTTAACATAACTAGTTACTTACTTAATTTTAATTAATTATATAACATAGAAAAAAATATTTTAGATTTAAATGCAGTCTTATTGCATAAATTTTTTATATACATTTTTATTTATTATTTAAGATTATTGAATACATATTAAAAAAATTATTTATGTTTTAAAAAATTATATTTTTAATATATTTTTATTTATTATTTTAATATTTTACATACTAATTTTAAAAACTATTAAAAATCATTTGAGAACGCGAATTTTAAAAAGAAAAAGAAAAGAAGATAAAATTTATATTTTAAATAAATATATTTAAAATTAATATTTATTTAAAAATAACAAATATAAATTAATATATTAACAAAAAAATTATATATTTATTATTATAAATAATATATAATTTTAAAATTAAAAATGAAAAAAAAATATTTTTTAAAAATTCATTCTAAACATACCTTAAACAAAAAATTAATAGTTAATTATAATTTTATTTTTAAATTAATAAATTAAAATGAAACAATATTTTTTTAATGATTATTATTCTTAAATAACTTAAAGTACGACGTCGTTTAGCTGATATCGGCTGGGTTGGCGGGAAAATTAGACTGGCGAGTGGAGGGCTTCTGATATTAGGGTTCATTCATGTTCAAAATTTGAAGTTCAAAGTTCAAGTTCAAACAAACACTGAAGAAAATAATTTCTATTTTCCTTGTCAGTTTCAAGAAGAAGAGAAGAAATGCCAACTTACAAGATCAGGGGAATAGATATAGATTTTCCATATGAAGCCTATGATCCTCAGCTTGTTTACATGGATAAGGTCATCCAATCACTTCAGGAGGTAAGGATGACCTTAGTCGTATTATTTTTTCAGGAGCTAGAATATGATTTAGAATTTCGTTGTTTCAATTTTCAATTAGTAGGAGTTGCGGTTGCAATTGCGGTTTAGCATCAAATAGAACGCTACACTAGATTATAGCTTGTTGGTGAGGACAACAACCGATTTGAAGTCGTTATTTGTCTTTGTTTACTTTACTTTTGTTTTCAAAAGCTCTATGCCTTACAAGGTTCACCTATGGTGTCCATTTTTTATATCATTTGTTTATAATTAATGTCACGAATTGACTCGTTATATTGTGCTAAGGGTATTCATTGTTTACTTCTATCTATGTTTTGGCATCGCAGAAATGCAATGCACTGTTGGAAAGTCCCACAGGAACTGGAAAAACGCTGTGTCTTCTCTGTGCTACCTTAGCTTGGAGGAAGAGTTTGGGTAGTTTCACAACTGGTGTGAGCACAAAGACTGGTGACAGGTCAGAGAGTATAACTGATGTTGCATCATCACAATCTGAGTCCTCGGGATTTTCTACAATTGTATATGCTTCACGCACTCACAGCCAGATCCGTCAAGTAATTCAGGAGTTGAAAAGAACATCTTACAGGTCATTTTATACTTGATAATTTTTTTATAATGAATTTTGCAAATGATTCTATTGATGTACTGTTTGTTGGCTGTTGACTTGTTGTCATTGTTGATGATAGTTGATGGTGTCAATGTCATGTAAATGTACCCTTCACTTGTGCTTACTCAATCCTAAGAAAAGAGCTTTTGTTTCCTATCAAGTTGGTGATTGTGGTCCAGAGACAGAAAGTAGATTCTGTGGGCTACCCTGGTTGATATTTAATGTCCAATAGACTTATGCTGAACCCAATCAATCTTTTACTCTTCATTTTTATGGTGATATGAGTGTCATGGGCCTATTATCTGATATTTATCAGTAAACAGGCCTAAGATGGTAGTCCTGGGATCTCGGGAGCAACTTTGCATTCATGATGAAGTGAAGTTACTTCAGGGAAAAACACAAACAAATGCTTGCCGATTACTCTGTCGAAGGCGTGGGAAGCGTCAGTGTAACCATTTCTATCGTGTACCCGGTAATTCTGTAAAATATTTTTCTATGCATATAATATGGGTACTTATATTTTACATGTGATGCGGTCCTGGCTATATGCATTTTTGTATCTTAGCTTAGCAATCATACTTAACACTTAGCATGTATTTTATTTGATTGGACCAATGTTTTTGTGTATGTTCCACAATCACTGTTAGTACTGTGAAGTGCCATGGTTCAAATGATGAACAAGCAGTAAAATTAAGAAATATCAGATTTTTTTTATATGATTATTATTACTATTATTATTATACATGTGTCACTTCAGTGTGCCATTTTTGGGTATTTATTTCATATAAACATCTAGTTTCTCACCAATTCAAAGATGCAGAATTTGGGAAAGAAAAAAATCTGATAGGATATAGAATGCAATTGTTAGGATAGGAGACTAGAGAGAAATAATTTCAAAGGTCAAAAGTTTGAACTATGAGTTTAGACTTCTAGGAAATTCATTACACACATTGTTTTGTGAGTGTGAGCGAAGTAATTCCTGATGTCATGATTTTACGAAAAAATATTTATCTGTCATGGAACCAATTGATCATGCTTTTATTTGATGTGCAACCTACCACAAACCTATGTTATTGACATGATGTTTATAGAGGTCACTGAAAGTTGTAGATCATTTATGAATTATTTGTCAAATGTTAATTGGATTTTAATTTTGAAGTTTTGATGTGTCATAGTTATGTCTTAGACTAGCTTGACAATGTTACTTAAATTCTGTTGTAGATTACTTGAAGAGCAATCCCCATCTTGGAGAAGAACCTGTAGATATTGAGGATTTGGTCAATATTGGTAGAAGATTTGGGCCGTATGTTATCTCAGCTATGCTGGCTGTATCCCTAATAGAGTATCTTAATATGCAAATTTTACTTTTATCGCCACCATGTTTCTTTCTCTCTCTCTCTCTTTCAAGTGAAAACTTCTGTTTTTACTTTGTATTTCAGGTGTCCTTATTATTTATCAAAGGAGCTCCACAAGGTTGTTGATATAGTATTTGCTCCATACAACTATCTTATTGATCGTGGGTATAGAAAGTCTCTGCAACTTTCTTGGAGCAATAGTATACTCATATTTGATGAAGCTCACAACCTGGTAAGAAGATATACTGCAAATTTATGATAGGAAAATAAGATTTACTGCATGGACCATAGGTCTATTAAGTTTAAACCTTTCTAGTGTATGTCTAATGTTTCCCTTTTAACTACCTACATACTCTGCTACATTTGTTATTGAAATTCATGGGATACAATTTTATGTGTTATTACTTGCAGGAAAGCATATGTGCTGATGCAGCCTCTTTCGACTTGCCTTCTTGGCTTCTGACTGCTTGCATTTCTGAGGCACAAAGTTGTATTGACCTGTCAATAGAAAGGAGAGATAAATCAAATGATAAGTCACAAAATCCGGATGATTTTGCAATTCTTAGAGGTGAATTTAATCTTATAGAATGTCTGTCTTCCAATTTCTCTGACAATATCATGATGCATGCTTTTACTAATTTCCACAACATTGTCTTATCTAATATGAAACATGTTTGTGTTTGCTGGATTTTCTGGCAAGGCAGCGAACTTTTAACACATGACTCTTTTCTAGATTCTGGTTAGGGTGCTTTGAAAGTAGTAAGTTGTATTGTATATTTTCTTGAATCTAAGGTACGGGATGGTATTTTCTTTCTTGCAGCACTTCTTCTAAAACTTGAAAAGCGTATTGCTGAAGTGCCTATTGAATCTAAGGAGTTGGGGTACACCAAACCTGGGCCTTATATCTATGAACTGCTTGCTGATCTTAACATCACACACAAAACTGCCTCTAAGCTTACTGATATAATTGCAGTAGCTTCAAACCTTCTTGAGGAACAAAATCAACAGAAATCAACTGGCACAATCTGCAGGTTGGATAGAATTGGTGAAATTCTTGATATTATTTTCAGAGATGTAACAGCTGCACGTGCTAAATATTATCGTGTAAGTTTTGGACTCTTATTGTCTTAGAGTTACACTTCACTGGATAGTTTTTGTTGGTCTTGTCGCTTCATAATAATTTTTGTTTGTGTAATTTTACTTTTCTTATTCTATAATATCTTACTTTAAGCTTTATTTCCTTTTACATAAAAGGTTCATGTGCGGGAGGTTGAGGCTTGGGCTGGCAATGGCTCTAAAGGTAATTTGAGACTTATTTAGATGAACTAGATATCTCTATGTTTCAACACACACAGACACACACACATGCATTTTATATAATATGTTGGGGCATGATTGATAATTTCTGTAGCACTTGTTCAGTGTGTTAGTTATGGTTCTTTTGTGACGATTTCATATTTAATTTTTTTTCTAATCTTTATCCATTAGTGTAATTTGTTCATTCCTTTGTCAGGCTTTCTTTTCACAAAATATTGTTAAGATTTTTTTTTATAAAGTTGTTATTTTCATTTTTATACAAAATGTATTTTTATGTTAAAATGATGGCTGTTTATGAGAGCTTTGGATAATTTTCTCTTGAATTTAGTATAGTATTCAAAATATATCAAGGCTTTTTGGCCTTTGGATCACACGTTTTTTGGTGTTGGAATTAGCATTTATAAGTTTAACACCAGTCTGTTTGGTTACGTAATACGAGTGATCATGGTTGTTTAACTCGCTTTTTAACTCATAAACTCGTTTGAGTTTTCAATCCTAATTAAGGAAATCATGTTAAATCGCATGAAAACTCATTTTTGGATAAACTTGGGTAAACTCGTAAGTTTACACCTGATTTTACAAGTTTACCAAAACAAAGAGAAAATCACATTTTTCACCAAAATAACACTATTTGGAATTAGGGTACCACTTTTCTTTCCTCTTCGTAAGTTGTGAAACACCACATTTACTAGTAGGACACCAAAATCACATTATCATTATGTGATTTGACTATTTAAGTACGATTTTAACTTTATTATTGAGCTTTATTTCATTATTATGACTTTTTAAATATTATATTTGTATGAGGTAAACTTGAGTTTACGGACACTACCAGTTTACTAGTGTTTCATGGAGAACTTTAGTCTTGTAAATGAAGATGTTCCTTTTGTTATACAGACAATCTAGCTTGTTTCCATTAGACATGTACAGTGTTTTGTAACTGAAGATGTCCTTTTCCCTTCCATTCTCAGTTATAAGACATGTTATTTTGATTTCATAGGCAAGGTGTCAAGGACACTCAGCTGGTGGTGCTTTCATCCAGGAATAGCCATGGAAGAATTTCCTAAGCTTGGGGTTAGATCTATTATATTGACTTCAGGCACATTATCTCCTATGGAATCGTTTGCTGAGGAGCTAAAATTGTAAGTTCCTGTTTTTGCTGATTGTGTTTTCATCCAATAATATGTTGGTTGTCATTCACTAAACAGAGTTGATTCTTGTCACCTCAGAGACTTCCCCATTCGGCTGGAAAATCCACATGTAATCACTCCAAATCAGATATGGGCTGGAGTTGTACCAGTTGGTCCTTCCGGACGAACTTTTAACTCCTCTTACCGCACTCGTGATTCGATAGAGTACAAGCAAGAGCTTGGAAATGCAATTGGTATTTGACTTGCTTATGGCTACACTGAGTCTTGCAAAACAAAGCCTTATAATATTTATGACTATTCTGACTGGTTAAATGAAGCCTTATACTATTTGTCTAAACATTTTGAAAAATGCATATCTAGTTATAAATATCGGAGTTGTGCTGTTTTTTATAGTGAAAGCCTTATTGGTGAATGGAACATTACATTCTTGTTACTGCTTGATTCTGCTTTTATATTCTAGCCTTCTGCGCCCATTGCAGATTGTGAAGTGCTTTAGATCAACAGTTTTATCCCTGTCTAAGTTTAACATATTTAAGTTTTGCATATTGTAACAAAGGAATATTGATAGTTTGCAGTGAGTGGGTGAATCATTCCTAGAAAGGTATGAGGTATAATTCATACAGTTTTAGACATAGATTTATGTAACTAGTCCTAAACATGATGTAGATTTATGTTTTTGATAATTTATGTTCTTATCTAACTATTTATTAGGGGAAAGATGTGGGACAATGGTGTTTGAGGCGGATGAATGTGGCTTTGCTTACCTAGGCATGAGAGGCAAAAATAATTTTCTGATACCATAACAATACCTATGGGAGGAACCTAAAGAAAATTCTATATTACAGACTTTAAAGGAGATCCAAAGACCTGACAGATTTGGAAATAAGTGGCTTGCATAAATTATCAGAATTTGAGAAAAAGAACAAGCAGTCATTGTTACTAACTGTCTATATTTTCATCTTAATATTGTTTTCCAGTAAATTTGGCCCGGATTGTTCCTGATGGACTCCTTGTATTCTTCCCATCTTATTACCTTTTGGATCAATGCATTGGGTGCTGGAAAAGTGTGGTAAGACTCATGCAGACCAAATGAAGAGTTAAATTTGTTTGCTCTGAGCTCATGGTAAAATATGTTGTCATTTGTTATTTTCAGAGTAATGAAAGTTCATCATCAATATGGGAGAGAATTTGCAAACACAAAAAACCTGTTATAGAACCTAGGGAATCTTCATCATTTGCCTCTTCAATTAAGGTAGCACTTTTATGTAACATAGTGAAAGCATGTTCTTTCCATAATTAGCATTCAGGCGCATCATATCCTAAGATGGATTTAACCTATATATGTATTTTTTGACAGGACTACATGACTAAGTTAAATGATGCCTCTGTATCTGGAGCAGTTTTTTTTGCTGTTTGTCGAGGGAAGGTATTCCTTGATCATGACTGCTGTGAAACAAACTTCTGATTTGTTCTCACAGGCATTCATAATATATAGTATGTTGTACAGATTCTGGTATGCAGTAACAAATCCAGAAAATTTAAGCTATAGGGGTGACACATAAATTTATTGCATTAAGAATATAACATACTATACTATCAAAAGTGTAAATATACATTACAATTGTTTTTTACGAGTTTTCATGTTTTGAAAACATCAAATGATTTTTTCATTATTAATATTATAAAAAATTGTAATCCTTATTTCTAATTCAAAGCACTTAAAACTAATAGAAAAATGTCAATAGCAGAGATGTACTGCAAAGCAAATCTATAGCATGTTGCCTCACTTAGATACATCTGAATGTGAAGGTCATTTGTGTCAATGGTTATTTTAACAGGTAAGTGAAGGGTTAGATTTTGCAGATAATGCTGGTAGAGCTGTGGTAATTACTGGTTTACCATTTGCCACAAGCACTGACCCCAAGGTTCAATAATCTTTTCATTTACCTTGAAAATTTGTATGTTATCCCAATGATTAAGCTTTCTAATGCTAAATAGTTCTGTTAGTATTACCTATTATTAGTTATGTATGTTATCAAATGCATCACTGGGTTTATTAACTAACAGGTTCGGCTCAAACGTGAATACTTAGATCAACAATCTCGGGCACAGGGAGAATTGTTCAAGGTTATGCTGATTTACTTGACATGAATTTTGCACACATTCCTGCAATATATTTTTTTATTCATCTGAATCTTAAGCAGGTTTTAACCGGAGATGAATGGTATAACCAACAAGCCTCTCGAGCAGTGAATCAAGCTGTTGGACGTGTAATTCGCCACCGCCATGACTACGGAGCAATTATTTTCTGTGATGAAAGGTTCTATCTTTAAATTATCTTGCTCTAATTTCCCCCAAATACATATCTTAGTACTAGCAAAGTAACATGAGCTTTGATTAATTACTCTCATGCTCTTTTTTAAGTGTTCCCTTTTGAAAGAAAAATCTTGACCCTGCTATCATATGGATAATTTATAGTCAGTGGCTTGCCTTGGTGAGTTGGTCCTAGTAAATTTCTGTTGAATTTTTCTGGTTGGTGTTGTCTCAAACAATAAACTGAGTAAGGTATTCATGTAAGTTGGTCAGTTTCATGATAGTATTATATGAAGTACTGTTCCTTTTATCTAAATTTTCTGAAATAAATATCTCAATATATACATCTTTTTAAATATAAGAAATGTAAGTCCTCGCTCTCCACGTGTCATGTTCAGTATCAATTCATTTTACACCCACAATTTTACTTTTTCTATATACTGTCCTGAGTCTTGAAGCATGGGCATCTTAGTTAGAAATACAAAAGGCTGACTAGTACACATGTCAAGATGCTAGTTATGATTATTCTTTTTCTTTATTAAATATCAATAGCCTGTTATGAAGCGACCTTAGTAATTATTAATTTTCCCTTTGTTGTTTTATTAACTTTTGGTGAGGGTTATTCATAGTATTGGAGTCATTGCAGGTTTTCACATCCACATCGTCAGTCCCAGGTCTCACGTTGGATACAGCCTCACATCAAGGTGCTATTTTTTGCTGAAGTTGTCTTTTTGAATTACATATTTTTTTATACTAACTGATTTCCGATCTTGCAGTGTTTCTCAAGATTTGGAGAAGTCGTTTTCACTCTAACTCGATTTTTCCGGGATGTTGGAACTGGGAGCCCTACAAAGTTGTCACTCTTAGAAGCTGAAAATGGGGGTCAGTGTCTTCTAGGACTACATTATTTGGCATCATTGTGTTTAGACTAGTTCTCCCTCCCCTGTTTTTTGACTGCTACACTGAAATATTGTTAATTTGTTTCTTGAAAAGCGTAATGGGTATGGCTTCTATCTGCTTTCATGAATTGGCAGTTGAATTTGTGGTAAATCAGATGGAGGTAAATATTTTTAATTAAAGCATGGGTTAAAGGTAACCTCCAGCCCAGGAGAGGGAGGAAAATATGGGTTACCTACAATGTGATTGTGTATTGGATAATAATAAGATACGTGAATGGAGTTACCCTTACAAGATGAGATGGACTTTTGCCTAGTCCAAAATCAGCTAATGCTGAAATTATTTGTTATTTCATTCCATGAAGTTGGTTAGATTTTCTCAATATTTTTGTGGTCCATACTGGTGTAGATGAGTTCTAATTTATAATGTTCCTGTGTTATTTGAGCATACCTTTTTAGTTCTTCAGTCTTCAATCAAAGCAAACTTGATTTCTTGCAAATAGTAGCTTCTTTTTCTTTATATTCTTTTACCTGTTTTCTACTAATATGATTTAACTGGATGATCCTCCTCAATTTTCAATATAGGAAATCTGGGGGAAATGCCATCAGAGCACCATATGGACAAATTTTTCATGGAAAAACCTTTGTCACCTCTGGTAACTCCTTGATCATGCACTGTTAGGATGTTCATATTTTTGAATCATATAATGCTATCGTTTGGCCCTCCAGTTCAGTTTGTGAATGATTGTACATGCAGACTAAACCAGTGGCTCAAAATTTCTCTTTGAAAGCTTCATCTTTGATTTATACTAAAAAAGGGTGTACATCATTCCTGGGGGAAATTGTGCCTGCCAATCGCTCATCTCTGTCTTCTGACAATGGAAAGATTGTGGTCTGTGAAAGTTCAAGAGATGTTTGTGGCAAGGTTTTGCTTGGAAGGAAGACTCTGCTGTCACAAGAACGTGATGGGGTTGATTTGACTGATTGTTGTCAACTGGGTGAAAAATCAAAGGATACGCCAATAGCACCTTGTTCTGCCAAGAAACGTAGATTTATAACAGGGGAGTATGACTTAAAGCAACATTTTGGAAATTCTAATGAGCAATCATCATCTGGTACACAGTTGTTTAATCATGAAGCTCTCATTTGCAATTATGTCAACCATGATAAATCAGTAGATTTATAATATAGCTAATCAAAATGCTCAAGGTGATGTAGATATGCAATGTAAAGATGATGGGACCTCTGACAGTCTTGAGTTGATTAGACAAAAAAGCAATCTTCCTAGTGATTCTGCACCTTCTGCTGGTGATGAAACCCAAGGATCAGCATTCCTTGCTCAGGTAAAGTCATTAAATATGAAACCAAAAGAAACTTAATGATTAAAGCCAATATGAAGGAGAATACAATAAAATATGTAATAACAAACATGAGCTTTAAGGACATGATCATATTTAGCCTTAATTTTGTCAAAAGTTAAAACTTGAAACTTCCGATTTATTTTTGTTGTACAAATATGGTAGGTCAGTTTGCCTTAAATTTTAAAAGTATTTTCCTAATTATTGGTAACCATCCTCAAGGTTTGTACTTTGGTTGGGATTATACTGTGGGGTAATATGGCATTAAAATTTATGTTCCTTTCCTGTCAAATATATTGATATTGATGATAACTCTGGCATAAGGCTACTCTGTTTGAATCATGCCCTACAGGTACGGGATATGCTTAGTACTTCAGAATATATAGACTTTGTGGGTTATATGAAGGCACTCAAGACCAAAGCGATGAAGATTAGTGAAGTATTACAGTGTATTTCTAGATTGTTTTCTGGACCTGACAGGCTACCTCTCCTTAAAAGGTATTCAGTGAAAATGCAATATCATAAATGACCTTTCTGGTTATAAAGTGTTGTCCTTGTTACCATTCATCACCAGTATCAATATGTTATTATTGAAAGTTCTGGATGTATACAATAAAAGAAATTAATAGCAATTAGCAAATCACATAATATAACATTTTTGAGATGTGTAATCATGATGCATGAGCGAAGTCATTTGATGCACAAACTGCAAAGTATTACAGGGTATGTGAAAGAAAGTGACTACTTCCCACCCTTGAGATTGCCACCTGGACTCACTTCCTTGCATGATGCTTTTTACCTGACGGAAATGTTTTTCTGATATTTGATTGAATTGAAATTTCTGATGTTAAAGCATCTTGACCTTTGCCATCTTGTGTTTGATAGGTTCAAAGATTACATCCCTGCCAAGTATCATTCTTTGTATGAGCAGTATGTTGAAAAAAATTAACCACTTGGAGATACTACTTAAAGGTGCCCCTGCTTGTGACTGCTGCTTCGACAAATTTTCAGCTAAAATTCAGGTTATCTCTTAGCATCTCTCTTGGATTTTGTGATTAAAGATGTGGAAAGAATGGATATTAGTTCGTGACACAAGTTTTAACAAGACTAGGAATGAGAACTGACATAAAGCAATATAAATTAGATATCGGTATTGCTTCACAACAACAGAAAAGATAATCTTATGTCTGCTTCAGGAGCATTAACTTCAAACAGATGATTATTTGAGCACTTTGTTACAGATGCGTACTTTGGGGCATACAGTGTGACACAAACATGTTGGAATGAGCCTTCTTGAGATTTGATGTTGGCCTGGGTGGATCAGCACATGAGATATTTGGGAATGAGTGGATACCAATTGAAAGAATGGTCATTTTTTTAAGGCCAATAGGCAACCAAGCTCCTTGGGATGAATCCTCAGATTACCTGTCTATGATAATATGTCCATTTTTTCTCAAAGACTTACACATAAAACAGTGCTTCCATGATGAAATGCATTGTGTTTTCAACAATTATATTCATACACCTGGATGGGTACTTCAACCAGTCTTCTACCCCATTTACCTTTTCATCTCTTTCTTACTGTCACATGCACATTAATTATCGCATTTTTCACTCCTTTCTTTTTTCTTTTTATCTCTTAAAGATATGTTTGGAATGGGAGTTTTGGAGAGAAAGGAAAGGAATGATATATTTTTTAATCTTAAATACATTAATTTTATATCAATATAACAATTTATATATTTTATTTTGAATGAATATTAATTTTAAATATATAATTTGTCTTCCCCTATCTTCCAAAATTTTGCCTCTCAATCAACTTCTTAATTCTTTGCACCTTCTATACCTTGAAGATGGAATGTATCACTAGCATTACACTTGTGTTTCTATCATTGTATATGCAGCTCGTAGTAGCACAGATGATAATTGTGTTTCAAGTTTTAAAGTTTTACTTTATATTTTTACTTCATGTCATCAGTAATGCATAGAGTTCTTTTTTTAATCAATAAAAAATTGTGAACAATGTGTTGAAAATGCGTTTATCAGTTGTCAGACTATTTTATTAGATGTGCTATCATCAGTTTGGCATCCTATGAAGGCAGTTCGAAAATTGTTATCCATTGCGAGCTGGCCGACTTAAATGTACTTTTTTGTTTTATCGACAACTTTTCTTTTAAATGTACCTGTGAGACAATAATGAGCTATTTTGGCAAACGGTTACGGCCCCACGTTTACGATAAATGTTTCAATTCATAACTTGAAGTTATGGTTGACCCCAAATAAACTTGTAATAAAACGTTTAGATTTTTCTACTAATGTTCACTGGTCTTCATAATAATAATAATAATAATAATAATAATAATAATAATAACAACAATTAGCAAGATGGGAAAGTACACCGTTCAATGGTCAAGTTAAGGTCTGACAGCGATAAGAACAGTGTCTAGTAATAAGGGATTATCGGCAGCAATTAAAACAACTTTTGGGTGGACAGTTTAATCTTACAAACCAGATGAGATATTTACATATTACAGTTATTCAGCGGCTTTTTAATAATTGAAAAACATCAAATTTCTTCAATTATGCTGATCCTTTCATTTCCTTTCCTCAACATTTCCATGTACTTCGATACTAAAATATGTCAAATTAAAGAAAGTGAATTGGCACACGCAATAATTTTCCATTTTAGTTTACGAAATTAGGGTTGGCTATTTAAATGACTTTACAAAATACTCATTTTGTATAATTATATAATGTACTAACTTTAGGCTTATTTCAACTAGCGTATGCAATTATTTTTGCTGTGACTGAACGGAAGTTGAGTTTCAGGACCCGTTTTGCTACTCTATCGAAGTTGTAGTTGAGAGAAACGGAGGAAGCTTTTTGTGTGTCGGATTTGTCGTTATTGGAATTCATTTCCGAATTGCAAAGAAAGGATAGACAGCGTACCTGATGGAAAAGTGAGGAAGATGTTAAAGACTAAGGATATTTGCATAACAATTTTTTTTCTTGATGAGAGATTAGTTATCTTCAGTAGATTGATTTTTTTGGTAACTATCTATTACAAGCATGGAAGCGAAGATGTAATTTTTATTCAAGATTGTAAAACTGGTAAGGGTGTTAAAAATGGCCCATGATATTAATTCATTAAATAAATGGAGGGCAAAAAATCCCCATTAAGCCAAGATTGTTAACTGAGATTATATTGTAAAATACAATAAATATCCTATCCTCACAAAACCTATACAAAACATCATCATCGTTATTTAAATATGTATTTATCCAACGGTGGATATTCTGTTGGTTGACATGGAGAACTTCAAACATGGTGGATAAAACCAAGAAAGAGTTCGGGATACAATTTCACCATCAATAACAGCAACACCTCACTTAAAACCACAAAGATACAAAGCTTAAGCGATAAACAAAGTGCTCATTGTCTTCAAAAACACTCAAAATCGTATGGTACAGCTTACTGCATGTGATGCCCGATGAGAAAAAAATCAAACCCAAGCCACGCTCTTGAAAGAAGAGCTACCTTTCCTTGCTCCAGAAGCATAACCACCTTTGGACTTTTGTATGAGAACTAATTAATCACATAATAACTACAAAACACCGAAAATATTTATTGTTATATTTGAAAAAAAAAACTCAATTTATTAGGAAGACCCAAATTCTAACGTTACTTCTTTGTTCTCGTTCCACAACTCGGGAACAGTCCTAACAGTTCGAACGCTACGTGGCTTGGCCGGAACAGCATCGGAATTTGAACGCATGGAGGTAATGAGATCGACGAAAGCCCCGAGAATGAACTTATGGGATTTTTTGTCATTAAGGTTTAGGTAACAAAACAGAAGCTCTTCCATGAAATCCCAATTGATGAGGTTGTTCCTCGACCTGGCTTCCACCATTTCTTGCATGGAACGTTTGAAATCTTCGTAGGGGCTCGGCGAGTACGTTAAGAGAGCGATGCTGTTATCGGGAAGAGTGTGTTCCGTAGCCTCCTTTGAATCTGAAGATGAAAGTGATGAAACATTGTTGAGAGTTGCGGTTGAGGTTGTTGTTGAGATCGAACCTGCTTCCTCGCTCGTGTTTGTCATGGTCGTTAGAGCATCCTCCACTAGTGACCCAGAGAACCCTGTTTTCACGAAGAACCGAGTGGAGCTACAAAGATCACGTGGCGTTTCCACTAACCTGGGTGACTCGAACAAAAGAGAACCTAGCGTAGGAGCTTCTTCTTCTGCATGGTTTTGATCTTCGGATACCCTTTTGGTGTTGTGAATGTTTTCGGTTTGTTCGTCGTCTTTGAGGTATAAAGACTTGAAATTCTCGAAGAGGAAACGATCTATGTCCGCCAGGGTGGCTGCATCGTCGTTGTGGCGATTATTGTTGTTACCATGATCAGCATCGTTTCTGTTGTATAAGGCGAAAGAGGGTGTCCTTGGATGCTTGCAACCAGAGAGAACCCAGTTCTTAGGAGAGGATATTGAGTTAAAGGGTAATCGAATTTGAGGGCGTGGGTTTTTGATCTTGAAGAGGTAATCTTGAAACTTTTTGGGCATGGTTGTCACTGGTGGGGGGATTTGCTAATGAGGATATACGATGAGTGAAAAGGTTCAGGTGTGTGCATGGAAAGGAGAGGAATTGATCATGGAGGTGTGTGACATGAAATTAATTATGTTTGACAAATCTAGGTTTATGTCCTTTTTAAAATGAATTTAGTTAGGGAAGAATTTGGTGAAACGCACGGACTTGGTTGAGAATCATGCTTCTTGCCAAATCCATTTGAAAAGTATAATTTGTGGACGCGAAATTTCTTGACCATAATCATAATCTTTTTACGATTTGTGTGAAGTTTGGACTTTGGAAAGTAAGTATGAGAATATGAGATTGTGTACTCATTGTCGCTTTCTCGGTTGCTCTACAATATCAATATATGCCGCGGTGATGATTATGGTAAAAACTCAAAAGAAGAATGATATTGACATTCCAAATATTTTCCCATTTTCTATACTATTCTATTTTGTAGAGGAAAGGGTAGAGTTTGATTGTGTCGGAGTACATAAATGAATATTATAATTGTAAAAATGTTACCTGGCTATGTCTAGGAGGCCGTTTAAATGCTTGCGTTCATTAAAAAAATATGGGTAACATTGAACTTAAAAAAAATAAAGAAACGCTTAAATAAGCAATAATGGTGAATTTAGCATTGTGATAATAACGTTTATGTGACTTTAATTCCTTCTTTTCATGATATTTTAATGTTACAAATTCGAGTTTGAAACTAAATTAAATATTGTACACGACGTTAAATAAATGTACAATGTCGTTATTACTTACCGTCTCGCTTTCTATATAATATAAATTCCTTGCGATTATGTTTGATGAGTTTAGCGTCAAGGTCAACCATATATTTTTTCAAGAAAAATGTTAAACGGTGTCTTTATTAAGCAAAGATTACGAAATTAAGAATAGTTTTTTGTTTAACAAAAATTATTATTTACTGATTTTTTAAGGTAATGATTTATAAGACCTATTTTAAATTAATTATTGTGGTATTTATCTTTTGAAATTTTTTGTTATGAAATCAATTAAAAGGTCTAAACATCAACATATTTTTTATTTGTAAAGAATCAAAACAGATACAGTGACACAAAACAAATGCTGTTTTAGGAAAATCGTGTTGTTTTGGATCCATCTGCATCTGGGTGATTATGAAGTAGTTGAAGCTTACTAATTACTTATAAATAATTAAGCTTTCAAAAAAGTATTTTCAACTGAAAAGAGTATTATTTTTTATTAAATATTATTTGTAATTGAAAATATCACGCTTTTGATAAATTAAAACTCTGTTTTATTTTTCTCCTAACATAGATGGACTAGCTCATATATAATTGTATCGATTAACCTTAATCTTCTTGGTGAATATTCTAAATCCAATTCATTATATATTATACCTAATTAATTTATTTTACACAAATGACTAAGTAAGTTTATGCACAAACTTTTTGTTAACTTTGGGAAAATAATAATAAAAATACTATCTGAAATACCTCAATGTATGTCAAAAAAACCATTCTTCAAAGGACAAATTAATAATGCATAATACATCCAGTTATTTTAAATTGTTTCTTGTTAATTCTAAATCATGTGTGTATTGATTCTGTCAACACATTAGAATAAGACTTAATATTTCAATTATCGGTTTTTAGACTGGCAGCCTCTGTAAACATCGCTGTCTAAATTTGATATATTTTGCTACTGATAACTTTAAGCACTTATTAAAAATTAATTATTAATGTTAGTCATTAAATAAATATTATTTAATTATTAATATTTTAAGTTTTTAATTAATATACTATGATTTACTTTTATTTGAATATCTTTTTATTTCATTAAATTTTGCCTTGATTTAAGGCACTCTTTGACATTTCTAATTATTTAATTTTAGTTTCAGTCAACGACGTCTGTAATTTATTGCATTTTATTGTGGGCCAGTAGACGTCAGCCAGTGAATACAAATAAGAAGCTTTAGATGACAAACAATTGATTTCTAATTATTGCATTTTTAGAAAATCAACAAACAATTGATAAAAATTAACAAAATTATTTCACTGATTAAAATATTTATTATTCTCCTTAATTTTTGTAAAAAAAGACTTTAGATGACAATCAATTTAAAATGGAAGGAGCATTTGGGTGGTGTTTAAAGCAAACCCAAGAATAAAGAATTCATCATTAAAAAAAAATGGAGTAAATTACAATTTTGAAACAAAATCAGAGCTCCGAACTATTTCTATGTGTAAGATAAAAATCTATTTCTCAGTAAAAAAAATGTGGGAATAATTTTATTAAAAGATAAGGAGTATTCACACGTTCAAAATAATTTATTTTTATCAACTACAATTGATGTCATTGACCTTAAAATCAATTTTAAAAATAAATATAAAAGCTTGTTAATACAAATATAAATTTGGCAAAAAGAATATAAAAATTAATAATACTGTCATAAAATTAACAAATGAATACGAACAACATAAACGTTTCATAAAAGAAGTTAAAAAAAGGGTTATAAAGGGTACTCCCTTTAATTTTTGTTTACGTTCAAAGTTTTATATAAATATTTAGAAAATAGTTAAAATTTTAAGTTTTATAAAAAGTTTTATTTAATTTTTTATATCTTTCATATATTATAATAATTTTATAAAATATTAGTAGTAAATAAATAAAATAAAATCATCAATATAAATATTAAAAAACAAAAACAAGTATAGTTTGCAAGAGTCAACGCTTAAGAATAAGACCCCATGACTAACGTGTATGTAGACCACCCAGTAACTGCTGTTCTTTGTATTTGACGGGCTTCGTTTGCGAGTGATTTACGGTATTAATTAAGAATGTTTAATATTAAATACCAAAAATTATTTTAAAGAATAAAACATTTGATATATATACTTATGAAATACAAGTTGAAGCTTTAATTTTAATCATATATATACTTATAATATATGTTTAAATATAATATTTTTTGGGTGAGGATATTACCACTCTACTATAAATAATTTTCATATAAAATATTTTTTATTGTTTAATTAAATTAATAATAATATTTAAATAAAAAGTGATAATATATTTTTCAAAGCGATCGACATACTTAATTATTTTATATATGTTAACAGAAATAAATGAGTATAAATCTTATAATGTCTGTATGTATACTTGTTAAATTTTGTAAATATTGAGTAGTACATAAAATGAGTCTTTAACAATTATGTTTACTTTACTTATTATTGTCCAATTTAAATGAGTCTGTAAAAAAAATAATATAAATTTTTTTTTATAATTTAAAAATGTTCAAATTTTTAAAAAGTTTTTTTTTTTTTTCATTACAGCTTCCTTAAATCTGACTGGGGTTTGAACTTTTTACCCATGTGCTTAGGACCGCTTGAGTAGCTGTTTCTTACAGTCCTACTGGGAGGTTTATAGCTTGCCTATCATATGTAAGGTTTGGGTTTCTGCAGTTCATAGTTACCAATAAAGTAAAAAGAATAATCTTAGTCATATGTTTCATCGTTCTGTTTGGATTTATGCTGTAGAAAGAAGAGAGGGATATTGATAATACATGATATAATGTGATTAAAAAAAATAAAAATAACAAAGTAAAGAGTATGAAAAATATGTATAAATATAATTGATGTGAAAACGCATTTAATGGACATAGCAAAATAGCAATCAAGCATGCCAGTGTCAGCGTGAATGTGTGGTTGAAGGGGTAGGGGGGAGGGGATTTGAGTGGACGGGTCAAGTCAGGTCCTATTTCCACGTCGTTAGGAATCATGTTTATGAACTATCAACTATCTATATATATAGGTTATTAGCGATTTGGTCGTGTATTTTTCTTGCACCTAATTTCATGGAGCTGAAATTTGAGTGTGTGAATTAGAAGCATAGCAGAAACATAGGAACAAACAATTGGTTTGGATCTCTTGGGAAGCATGACTTGATTGTTAATGGAGCATCCAAGTGAAGTTGTGTGTCTCTAATTTGGACGGGTGCACCGTAGACATTAATAATTGGATTGGACAGCTTGGTCCAAAATATGCATAAGAGGGTATAAAAACACAAGGACAATCATTAAATTCCATGAGCCCCGCTGCACAGCTCTGAAACCCCTCAGTGATGATTGTGATATGCGTGGTGATTTACAAAATTCATAATATCAAAAGAACTGTTCGTATAACTTTTGCTATTTCTATTATGTTTTTTTACCCTGGAATACTTTCTACTTTATAAGGTGTTGGTTCATAAGAATTCAAAATGTTTAATGCAGTTTCTTTCCCGTCATGTATCCTTTTTGGATGCTAATTTAATAGCAGACACTCTTAGAAATGGCACAAGAAGAAAAAAATATAAAGGGCAAAAAGCAAGAAGAAATTATCTATTGGTAACACTAGCCCATGTTCAGAGCACATGGTTTCTGCAGTTACTGCTTTTCTACTTAGCAAGATAGAGTGATCCAGAAAGATCACAAGTACTTAACCTCTATAGTTTGCAGGATATGTTTCAGGACACGTGTATATATAAAAATTTAAAATTAAATTAATTATATAAAATATCGTGTACCTTATTAATCTTTAATAATTTAAATTACGAAATTAAATAATCAAACAACATAGGAATTTTGTGCTAGATAAGCGTGATATCCTATTTTGTCGTTTTATTGCAAGCTTAGACAGCAGAGGAGAAATAAAGACTAACGTCCTCAACCTCAACCAAAATCCTTGTAAAGTGCAAATAAAACAATTTAATATCGAGTTCATTATTAAGCTACCACTAAAAGGAAATGAGATCAACTCCACTTGAAGGTTAAGTGTGCTTATTAATTATAAAATTATGTTTATTGGCATATTAAGCAAACAAGATCAATTACTAAAGCTCTACTTTATGAACTTCTGATCACTTATTTGATGATGAACTTGGACTATGGAAACAAAGTCTATCTCTTTCATCAACTATGTACCATGAAGTGGAAAAGCAGATGACAGAGAAAAGTAAATGGAAACATCGAAGAACATCTCAGTGAGGAGATTAGCAATACTTCCACATCTCTATATGTGCAACCACATCATAATTCATAGGAAAAATAAAATATTTGAGTCCAAAAGAACTAAAAATTACACTACGTTGCCCTTATCATTTGTCTCCATCACAAACCATTTTAGTAGTATTCTCAAAAATCTTGGAGGGGACTGCAAATCGAGCTGAGAATGAGCGAGAAAGGTTATCAGGGTCGGTGGAGTAGCCATCATCAAAGTTTTGTGAGTAGGAGCTGAGGTCATATTGGACATGAACTACAGGTGAAGAACTGAAAAGTTTCCTCTTTTCCCTCTTGATCTTCCTCCAAAATGTTCTCCATCTTGGCATCTTCAATCTTGTCATTAAATTATCGACACACATGAAGGAATTGTAGAAAATTCTCACATAACTTGACCAAGTGGTGGTGTTTCTGTTGCTCACACACTCGCAATTTTCCATGTTTATGGTGTAAAATGGAGAAAATTTGAGATTATAAAATGGTTAAGAGAAGAATGAGTCTGTTTAAAGTGCTTCAAGTGAAAGCACTAAGGCTATTTGTACAATGAGCCCCTGCACCATCACAGCATGTACTTATAAAAGGAAAGGAAGAAGACAAAGACTGGAATGATATAACCTTGCAATATCAACAATTTCTATTGGGTGTGTCAGAAACTAAGATTTCAATTTATGACTTTTTTAAATTGGTCCGTGGCTGTAATATATGAAGTCACATGGGATGAGCTTTGTGTAGTAAGTTACATGGGAGATAGTTTTGATTATTTAGATTAATTATTGTATAAAATGTCGTTTACCTATGAAAGAAACTGTTGTTCAAACAGGCAACGTTGTTTGCTATGTTACAAACAAGATAAAGATGGCTTCACACCCTCAAAGGGTGTGTACACACAATGAGAAGAGAATTACAAAAAGAGAGAAAATAAGTTGTAATTGATAATGTGATGAAAAAATAAATAAATCAACACTGGTTGGTATTTTTTTTTTATATAAATATTTTGTAAAAGTAGTAATTTTACTCGAAATCATGTTAGCATGATTCCCAATTCTAAACTCTTCATTCTCCATAAATAATTTTACTTGTACAAAACATAAGAACATATTCTCTCTCCAATTAAATTTATCTTCAATTTTATAGAATTACATTTATACTTTTCTTAAAATAAACACATTTTATCTTTTAAAAAAAATTATCACTAAATTTATATTTTATAAAAAGTTCATTAAATTAGTTCCTCAAAGTTATAACAGTCACCAAATTCCCTCATTAATTATGATAATCTGAATGATGACATACAACAAGGAATTTGATGACAACTTTGTGCTCAAAAGGATTAATATAGGGAGATTTTAAAATTTGAAAAATTAATATAGTGAGTTTAAAATGTTAAGAAAATTGAAAGGTTAATATATCCTAGAATCTAATCAAGAATAGCAAGCGAGGAGGGCAATAACAGGGCGTTCGAAGTTTAAAATTTTAATGTCGGTGTGTGTTAAGTGTGGAACTCTGGTTTGAATATGAGAAAGAAAAGGAAATGGAGAGAACAAAATCGTTTGCTATGCAAAGAAGTTAACGATGAATTTATAGACACTGTGTTGCTATCATATTTCATTTATACGTTCGTAATTATTGACCGCCATATCTAACTACTAGTTAATATAAATTATTTCAAGAAAAAAAGAGCCTCATTGCTACTAAACAGGGCTTTCAAGTTTAGTTTAAATTGAACCATTTAGGCATTTGGTCCAGTGGTTTCAGTGATTAACTGTAGAGTAGTAATAACATTACTGCAAGTGATCCAACACGTTGGTCCACTCACTTCCTCCGCCACTCTTATTTTCACCCAATTTCGTACAATACAACCTGTACTGCTTCTTCGCCCACCACCACCTTAACCAACCCATTTATTGTTTACGCAAAATGGAAAGAAATTATCTTAAAGAGTTTAAAATTCTGGTTAAAAACCTTTGTTCCTGTGGGCTTTAACCTCCAAATTACCAAAAAAATAAAAAAACTAAAATTCTGACCAAAAAACGAAAAAGCATTACAATATATAGATTGCAACCATAATTTACATGATTTATCCATGATATATATATGTGTGTGTACTCCAGCTAGCAAGTACTAATATTATACATATGGAGAGGGAGCAAAGATGTTCTGACTCTTCTGCTGACCCTGCTTGGTTATTGGCTAGTTCTTCAGTTCATCACTGAAGTCAAATCATAAAAAGATTCAGTATAATTAATGGATAAGCACATTCATTGAAAAGTTAATAAACAAGCTTACCTGGTGGAGACAATGTTGACGAACAATTGTCTGGTTTCGTGTACTCACCAAAACCTCACATGATAGTTTTGCCTGTGGAATATTTACAAAATATAGATCAGCATTAGCAAATTCAAAGTATTAGGAAAACAATGAAAATGAATTGAAAGTTTCTTCATTTCTTGAAAAAAACAGAGTAAAAGAACCATATGATTAAGAGTAAAAGAAAGTTACCTTCATAGGGAAGTGAAGGAAGAGAAGGGCCAATTGGCCCCTAATTTGGCTAATTGTATCGAAGGGTACGATACCCTTGGCCAGGTCCTCCAGCAAAAGCACCATCTCAGGGACCACACTAATGCCGGAAAATTCCACGTCAGCATCCACGTAGGAATATCCCCTGGGCCTCACGTGACCGTGTTTCGCCGTCACGTGCCCCAGCATCTTCCCCCTGTAGGCAACGGCCACGTTAACGGCTCCGAAGTCCAAGGAGTACACGTCAGCATTGTGCACCATTAGCGTGAGAACCATGGAGATGTCTACGGTGATCGGCGGCAAAGGGTGCAACTTCATCCGCTTCAGCTTCAGTCGTACGATGGTCAGGTTAGGATCGGATGGCCAGAAAACGTAGACGGTGGTGAGGAATAGCATGAGACCCAGCGTGCAGGTCACTCCACAACGGCGCGTTAAAACGACGTGGTTTTGATGGTGATGAGGTTTACGAAGGAGAAGGGTGTACCATGAAGCTTTTGAAATTGGCATGGCTTTCCTTTCACTCTGTGTAATGCGATTAATTGCAGCTTATGATCACTGAAGATGGTACGTATATACAACACATTATTGCTTTTTTTCCCTTTGTTGTGTGCGAAATTGTGGTGTAGTTTCCTATTTTGTCTCTATGTTCGTTGTGTTCTTCTATCACCTTTTTCCTTGGTTCAAATTCATTCTCGAAGTCATCAACTTAACACCATTTATGAAATCATAAATGCCTTCACTGTTCAAATACAATTATAGATAAATACTTGTGAGTTTTTGTTTTGAAGTTATAATCATTCATTTCAATTACTATTTATTTATATTTATGAAAAGAAAAACACGAATTGACTATGATCTTGTATCAGTAAATGTGACGATGATAATCATATAATTGCTACTGTATAATGGTTTTCTTAAAAAAAAAAAAAAAAAACTAACTGTGTAACTAAAAAAAAGTGTAGAAAAGAATAATTAATCGTGAAACTATTTTGTGACATAGTAAGCCATACTTAGTTAAGACTTAAATAGGTAGTTGTTTAACTTTAGAGTGGTTTATTGTGTGTTCAGTAGTCCACGGTATTAAATATTAAAAAATATTTAATAATTGTGTGTTTTCAATATAATAGTTTTGTAATAAAAAAGTTATTTAAACCCTTAATTTTGTAAAGAATGTTGTCAATATACTTTTTAATGATGAACGTGTGATTGGTTTCAGATAGTATATATTTAATTATATATTTCAAATATGATTTCGGGTTGGAGCTTTCTACACGTACACTTTCAAAACCACACTCTACGTACCATTAGGTTATGCATGTCATATTTGTATTTGTTGAATCTCATTTATTACTTGGAATTGAGAGTGCTATGATGCCAATTTCTTATTTTACCTTTAGTAACTAATTTCATGTTCATTGGAAGTCAAACTCATTCTAGATTGCTTTCAAAAACAAGTGAGATTTTGAAAAGGAAAAGATGGCTGAAGCCATCAATAGATTATGGTTTTTTTGGGCATTTTTCTGTTCTGCTAGGAGATCATGGACTGAGAGATGTGATGCGTGTGATTTTCTTGTATATATGTTCATTGTTCAGACATAAAACAGCAATTTTGCAATTTTAAGGCTTCATAACATACTCCATATTGCTTCTGAGAATGCTTTTTAATGGATAAGATAAGAGCACAACCAAAGAATAATATCAAAGTAGTTCCTCACATTTAGAAATATATTCGACTAACTAACAGTCTTCTTTTTTTCTCTTGGTGAAGATTCGACCAACTACTAGTCAACGCTAAACAAAACTACTAGTCAACGGTCCTGTTCTTCCCCAACTTTCGAATGAAAAATTTAACTAGTTGCTTCTTTGATCTACACACTCTCTTTCATCATAGAATTCTCTTTCTTTTCTGCAATTTCTACGATTTGTTCTCTTTTAAACCTAGCGGTATGGCAAGGCCAGGGAATAAGATCATTCAAGCCAAGCTGGTGGGTACGTCTTACCTTAATCTTATATAAAATTTTATTTTCTTTTTCTTTTCTGATTTATATCTGTACTTAATCTTCCTCACTGCCCTTGCTCCTTATTTTATTGATTTCTAATTTACACAAAAATCTATTACATATTGCATTGTCCATAATGTATCATATACAAAGGAAGGAATACTTAATATGACAAGAATAACGATTACATGAATAGATTGTCTATGTATGAAATAGAAACAGAATAAGAAAATCAACAGCGCAGGATCAATTAACCAATAGGATTTTATTTCATTTTATTGTAATTTGACCAACTTTTCAATATGATAGCAGACCATGGGAAGGATCTGATTATTAGAAACAAACATTTGCTGAAGCAGCAACTTTTACTCTTTCAATTTCAAATTTGCAATATTTGGTTAATTTTCATCTAAAAATATGTTATTAAGATCAGAAACACAAATTTATAGATTGTGCCCCTTCTTCTAGGTTCTTCTTGGAGACATGGGAACTGGAAAGACCAGTTTAGCATTAAGATTTGTGAAAGGCCAATTCTTTCCTAATCAGGTTTGCTTCCATTTTATTTATTAATCGAAACCTGTTTTCTTTGTTCATATCATATCAGTGGACCACCATCACGGTAACAACTACAATTTTGGAAGCTTAATATTAATCTACGTACAGGAACCAACTATAGGAGCTGCTTTTTTCACTCAAATATTGTCATTACCTGAAGTGACTGTGAAGTTTGATATATGGGACACAGCAGGACAGGAAAGATATCATAGTTTGGCTCCAATGTACTACCGTGGTGCAGCAGCAGCAATTGTTGTATATGACATCTCAAGCATTGTAAGTATTGAGTTTGTTAAATTTGAAGGCATTCAGCAATTCCCGTGTTGTATGGTTACCAATGGAAGTTGTGATATATTTGTAAGCCTAGATTGAATCTTAAAGCTTTTATTTCAGGATACATTTGTTCGAGCCAAAAAATGGGTTCAGGAATTGCAAAGACACGGTAATGCCTCAAACTCGGGAAAGAAACAATTGCTATATGTTGTCTTTGTCTACCAGCTAGCTGAATGCCTATCTCACAACAGTAAAACCATATTCACTTCTTGTAGGAAATCAGAAGGCGGTGATGGCATTAGTAGCAAACAAATCTGACTTGGAGCCAAAGAGAGAGGTTGAAGCTGAGGTAGTGTTGAAATCATCTTCACATCCTGTCCCTTTCTCTTCTCCATTTGAAAGCACAACAAAACTATACAGTTTATTCCTCGGCATTATCTTCGTTATCTTATAGTGCATTTTTTTTTATTTAATAGAATTTGTGCACAGTTCAACGTTACAGTATAATAGAATACAACAGATCCTTCTCCCCTTCTCTTTTTCTTCGTAATCCATTTGAGTAAAGTAGACTATTGCAGGAAGGAGAGAGATTTGCTCAAGAGAATGGAATGTTCTACATGGAAGCATCTGCTAAGACGGCAGAAAACGTCAATGAGCTTTTCTATGAAATAGGTATTTTCTGAATAACTTCAAAATATGGCCAAATTCAATTATTTTATTTAGATGGTTAGTTGGGTGTGGACTAAAAATAACCTGAAAAATTCATGAACAAGATTTCAATAATATTTTATGAATAAAACTTACCCATGAATTTTGCACCTCCATACCCACGGGACCAGTTTAAGGAAATAAAGCAGCTGTTTAAGTTGTTGTTTGCCTCATAAATTCAGCAAAAAGACTATCAAGAGCTTTTCCACCAAAGCCTACCGGAATGAATTTGAACAGCGAAATACAAGATGGAGGGAGAAAATTTTTTTGTTGCTCAACTTGATAATCCCAAGTAATCAAGTCAGAGAATAATGAATGGTACCAAGGTGTCTTTGACTTTGTTGTAATACACTGACCACTGAATATTGAATAACTATTACTCTTTCCCTTGTAATTTACTTCTGATCTGGAGTCTTGTTTTATATACACGTAAATGGGTACATATACTAGCTTTCCTTCAGGTTGCATGTGTTGTTTTTGGATAAAGAAATTCACTTCTGATCTGGAGTCCTGTTTATATACTCGTAAGGGTCAAAACAGCTCAAAGGGTCAAAGCACAAAGACCAAAGCTGTGTGTTAGGGCCAATGCCAATCCATGCATTCAATTTAAAAATAATTGGAAAAATTTAGCACATTACTTAATTACCAGATGTAATCACAAAATTGTTTTCATGTTTTCCTGTCAGCTACAGAAGTTTTATATATTATATAGAATATATCTCATTTTTGCAGAGAAATCATGAAAATGTTGACTGACTCAAATCTAGATGATCGCATATTCAGTTCTTCAAAGAAAAAGATCCTCTGATAGTATCAACTTAAATAGGATAACCAGCAACTATATATTTTTATAATAAAAAACATGTAAATTTGATATTAAGAACTACAAGATGCAAGCAACAATACTATCGAATTGGATTTCTTCAACTTAATCTTTTTTTCCCAGCTGTAAGCACCGTCGTTTACAAAATGGTTTGATGAGGATTAACATTAATTACAAATATGCAACTGTAAGGCCAAATGCCAAAGGTACTACAAAACATTGAACACGTAACGTTATTACATCGAGGGCATCAATCCATTCCACTGCATTTTCTGCATTAATAATAAAATTCAAATAGTGTTTATTTAACATTTTCATATGTAATTTCCATGACTCATCCCCAATCAAGAGATCCCTAGTGTAACATCATATAACACAACCAAGAAAAAAAAAAAAACACAACCCAGCTCATGCTGAGCTCTGGCCTAGGTTCTGTGATATTGACTTCAATTCACTGTACATTCTGGAACATTCCTGAGAAAAATCCGACATAGCTCTAAAGAGCTCTGGCATGCGATTTTTGAGACTTCCTAAAGTTTTTTGCCTCACTTGGAGGCATTGCCTTGCATAGGCTTCTTCCTCATCCTCCAATCTCTTCTTCAATTGTTCAACTGCAACCTGCTTCTCTATAACAAGCTCATCAGGAGCATTAGTGTCTTCTGCCCTATCTGGATTGAATTCATCTGGTGTTTTCTTTTGCATATACTTGCTATACCAATCTTCAAATTGCCTGGTTTTGCGGGCATGCTCCTTTCTAGTATCCTCACACTTTCTCTTCAAAGCTAATTCTTCTTCTTGCTGATGGGAAATAGTTTCTATAACAGCAACAAAGTTGCCTATAGCTGTCCTAGCAAGCTCATCAGGAAGTTTCTCTAGGCGGTCATTCCATGCTTGGAGAAGGCCCTGTATTGGAGGACTTCTAACTCTGGGAGGTGAAGAAACCTTTTCCCTTAAACTACTTTCAATAGGGGTCAGATTTAATTTTAACCAAGTGTTTAAGGCCTTTATGTATCCCTTTTGATTGTTTACTAGCTTCTCAAACTGTGAATGCCACCGTTGCGCAACAAGAAATAACTGGTATGTTCGGTCATGATGGTGTTCACTTGTTTGTTTAGCAGACTGGGAAATGTCCAGCGATCTAAGCAGTGTCACATTTTCTGATTGTTTCTCATGGTGCTCTAGCATGTCTTTCCACATAGTGGCCATCCTGCAGTGCATAAAAAGCCTATCAATATTAGCAGAGAAGCTTGTGTGTGTGTGAATGTGTTTACAGATTTGGGCTCAAGTATTAATAGGATTATGAAACAAACAGCTTCCCTGCAAGAAACATGCAGCTTACATTTCCCTTATACAGATTAGAAACGAGCATACCAAGAGAAACATTAATGAAGACCTGAATGAATTAGCAGCCAAGGATGTGAAAAACAAACAAACAAAAAATTCACTTCTTCAATGTTAAAAGACATTGGCTAAGTATTAACATAAAAGTGAGAAGGTTTTATGAGAAAGTGTTATCAATACACCCCCATCGTGATTTCCAATTAAAGTTTTTTATTTCTTGATACCTTAACCAGGTGCCTATAAGGCAAGAGAAGTCATAAGCAGAACCCCAATTATAAATACTAATTTCTACATCATAACTCACCCATCAACGAGCTGAACAAGTTTTGGGTACAACTGTTCATCACGTAAACGGTTAATCTCTGATACTGTTGAATCCAAGGATTGCATATCTACAATGTATCTTGTATGCAAATGACTGACAACTGCTTTTGCTTTCTCCAATGCTTCAGAGTTGGTACCTCTTTTCTTCAGCTTGTTAAGTGTGGCAACTTTTCTTTGGTATTCAAATTTCATTAGTTCACCAGCCTATAAAATAATATATGCAGACAGATTCAGAATTAGCACAGGAAATATATATGGCTGCATATTTAAACGAACACCTAAGCAAAGATAGGGTGGTAGTTAAAGGGTAAACAGAAAGAAAAACATAAACATTTGACAAATAGATACATTTACATGGAAACAGTTGAAGCTACACGAGTTTGTAAGAAAAAAGTTAAAATTTAAATAAAAAAGAAGGCAAATAGAACTCGTACGACACAACATTTTGGGTCAGTCCTCATACCTTAACTTCATCGTAAAGTTTCTTTTCCCACGCTAACAACTTGTCTAAGATGGTAGCATGCGTTTCATGCTCGTCAGAGTCAGGATCATCTTTCCCATCATCCAAATTAGGTATTCCCTTAAAGGATCGATTCCAAGTAATAACTCGCATGACCCTTGCGGAGTGATCAATGTGTCCTGCAAGAAGAAGTAAAAAACACAGTTAGGGTGCGTTTGGATACACAGTCTAATTAAGCCTTATTCAATAGGTTATTTTTTTTAATATGAGAACTAAATAATTTCTTTCATTTCTATTACTAACCACCAATTACTCTAGTAAAATATTGAATTCTCAGTACAGGTAGAAAGAAGGGTATGCAAAACCTCTATTATCTGCAAAATTGGAGTGATAGTGGAGGCGAGTGGCCTCAAGCATCTTTGAAACCTCGTGAGCACTCTCAGAAGCTTTGAGAAAATGGTCGTCAAGTTTAGAAAATATCAGGAGCAGATTCAGACTAGGTTTCACAATATTTTTTCCCTCCACAGATCCCCCCGGTGTTTGCTTCACCTTCAGGCCCTTCCCGGTGGTGGGCATCACTTCCTCAGGCACGGGCACGGGCACGGGCACGGGCTCAGGCTCGGGCTGGGGTTCAGGCTGGGGTTCAGGTTGGGGCACGGGAACCTCAACATGGGTCTGAGTGGGAACAGGGTCGGGATCGACCCTTTTGGGGGTTTGGTGAAAAACCTTGGTGTCAATTTCGTGAAGCTCTTCTGGTTCGTGCAAGGTGGTTCCTGCAATGTTCTCCATGGAAGGGAAGAAGTATTCCCAAGCAGCGCTCTGCGGTTGAGACTGAGACTGAGGCTGAGGCTGAGGCTGAGACATGGGGTGAAGGGGTTGTTTGGAGGGAGGAGGAGGCATAGGAGGAGGAGGGTGTTCATCTTCCTCAACCCTTCTATTACTGGTGCTTCTGTTGCTTCTTCTTTTCCGAAGAGAACCTTCGTTCTCCAACTCCTTATCTTCATCGTCGTCGTCTTCTTCGATGATGGTTTTGGGCCTGGGCTCGGGGTCAGGCTTGGGCTTGTTGATCTTCATTTCGGGCATGCTGGTGGCCCGCTGGAGAGGGGTGGGGGTGAAAGCTTCGGGGAGAGGGGGAGGGGGGAGGGCGATCTCGTAGGGCTGCTGAGGTGGCGCAAAGGGGTTGTCGGGGTAGGGGAGTTGGGGGGTGTGAACCTCACCGTGGGCGAAGTCGCCGAGGGCTGCGCCGGTGTTTTTGAGGGAGGTGGCGTAGGCGGAGTGAGCGGCGGCGAAGGCGTTGCGCGTGGAGACTGCCTCCTTCATGTAGCGCTTGCGCTCTTTGCATCGTGCCACGGCTTCCTCGTTCTCGATCTTGGATTGGCTGCACCCCATCTCAGATCATCTCTCTCACTCTGTGCCTCTGATTTACAAATTTTGAGAGAGAAACAATCAATAATTATGAATGGGTTTGGGCAAAGCAGATGAGCGAATGTGCAGACAAATAGTCAGAGGATTATTTATTTATTTATTTATTACTGTTATTATTACTATTACTACTGCTGGAATGCATGAGATAACTACCCCAACACTTCTCAATTGCCAAATAGGGATTCACACTAAATCTTCCTCTTCTCGCTTTTTAATACTCTTGTTCACCTTTTAAAAAATACTACAGAGTTAAAATTTTATTTATTAATTTTTTAACCATAACAAACTTAAGAGCATTAATCAGTAAGATTCTTTCTTATTTATCTGTCTATATATATAATGAGTAATTTTAATCTTTTACTTGTGTAAAATGTACACACAAAAATTAAATATTAAATTCAGACTAACTGCATTTTTTAATTCTGTAAAAATAACATTCCTGGCATTATATTATCAGAGAATGAAATTATTAATAATGAATGCATTTCTAAAACCTGGAATAAACGTCTCTTTTGGTTTCCCTTTTGGATGAAAAGAGATAACTTTTATACGTTGGCCTCGTTTTAATTTCCTTTTTCTCATCGTTTTGTCTATTCCAAGCTCAATATTTCTATAAATATATTTTTTTAAAATGTGTTTTCCTCTTTTGCACCAATTTCTTTTGTTCCAAATACACAGTTTTTCAAAACAAATAAAATTTATGGTTTGAGTTATAATATAAACATATTATAAATTATTAAATCAATTGAGTTGTAATATTATTAAACCTTGTGTACGGTGTCGCCGTCACTGACACTGATACGGAAGGAGAATTAGTAACTTAAATGCACTTTTGGGAGCCTTAATTACTCAAAGTGGCGATTTAAGATTCTGCCATTGCCTGTGTCGTTCTGCGTACTTGTCTCTCGCTCTCTTGAAATTTATTCAGTTTCTGTGTACTTTGTATAGCATCGCTCTGTAATTTATTTAAATAAATAATTATTTCTCTATATAAAAAATCCTCTTCTTCTGTACTGTCACCAAGTTTACTGCTATAAATGTTGTTTCTTATTTTTAATAATGTGCACTCCTGTTGGTTGAGATTGAGATGCTGATCGGAAACCATTAACATTCGCATCAAACTAACTTTCATTTCGGAAGATAGAATTGAAATCGTTTAAAAATAACGAATTTTTGGAAGAAATTAAAAATAAATGTACAAAATAAAATTAGAAAAATATTAGAAGACATTAATAGTGATGAGGATGGGAAGATACCGACAGCAATATTAACTGAGACAGGAGACGACCAATAAAAATGCAGTCACTAAGTAGAGGCGATGGTTAAAGGGCTCTGACAATGAGAATGGTAATTGGGAGGTTGTGACAGTGTGGCAGCTACTAATCCATTGGTTGCCAGCGACAACTGTGGCTGGAGTTTGCTATCAATAATTGTTTGCGGAGTCTATAAGCTGGAATGATAAAAGAAAATAACGATGTGACATGCTGATTTAACCTTTGCTTTTGGTATTTGAAATTCTAGGAAAAAGCCATCCTTATTTAAAAATAGAACTTTTTTTTTATTATGCTACTACGTGTATTTTATTTAATATTTATCTTATTTTCAAATAGTTTTGTATTTAAAATTTTATTAAATTAAAGCTAATCATACAATATATTTTAATTTGATAATAGCTAAAGAAACATACGTGTAGTACATGGACTACTAACTAGTTAAATTTAAATATGTTATAAACTGATTGTTTCTAGTTTTTAAAAATACCACTCAATTAAAATTTCAATTTTAGTCCCTTTAGGAAAAACAAAATCAATTTTAATGTACACACTAAACAAACTCTGGTGTTCATGTTAAATAAGATGATAGCTTGATTTGAAAGGTTTGATTTCAATTATAAGACTCAATGACAAGTACAATTCCATACACCAAACCACACGAGATAGGAACTAGTGATTGAACTTGTGCAAAAGACTTATGGCAATGGAAGAATTCCAACGATATTTTCAAATGAAATGAAAAATATATGTGGATTTGGTTACAACTCCTCTAACTTTATGAAAATTACAAAAAATATATCTTACAACTATGGTGATTTTAAAATTCTTCCTTTATTTATAAAAAGTAAATAAAATATTTTTCAATAAATTAAAAAGAATTAACTTTAAACCGTTTGTAAATATAAAATAAATTACTAAAATTGATTGGTGAAAAAATTAAAAATAAAGAGGAACATATGACTATATTAGGTAATAAAATATTAATAATAAATAAATAAATAAATTGTTACTTCTCCTTTATTTCTTTTCTCTTCATTTCTACGATAACTCCTCCATTTTTATTTCTCTCAATCTCCTTCATTCCTATATTTTTTTGTTATCTAAACTTTGAAATTTATTGGATAAAATTAACTAAGGTGAAATTTCTCCTCTGTGACTTCCTTCATAATTTTCTCTGAATTGCATATACTACCCTATCAATCTGGATTCCAATGAGACATGACTAGAAGAACATGAAACGTAGTTGAAAAAATCAAAATTTAAAAAAATATAATGAAAAATATTTAACTGAGACAAAGCTAACACTCATTTAATTGTTTAACCGAACAAATCAAAATTTCACAGGTAAGATAACCACTTCTTGCAACGCTTGTTTCGTGCTTTTCACCCGTGAGGTTGTTCTATTTCACATTCAAAAATTTTCAAATAAAGACCCAACACTATCTACATCGGCTCTTGTGACCAACTGCTATTAAATCTATGCTTTCTTATTTTTCAAACTTCTACATCAGTCATTATCACCACTAGATGTAAATATAATTTTTATTAAAAGATTGCAACTTTCTATATTAGTTCTCTAATGTAGAAATTTATTTCTTTACGCAGCTATTTCAACATTGGTTCTCGTAAAACTGATGTAGAATGTATTTTCTTTTAAAGAAAATACAATTTTCTAACTTTCTACATGGGTTCTTTGAAGAAAATTGATGTAGAAAGTTAATTTTTTCATGCAATTACTTTAACATCGCTTCTCTTATAAAACTGATATCATAATTTAAAAAAAAAGAAATTCTACATTGGTTATTGTTTTTAACGTCGTATATAAAGGTGTGTATAAGTTTTGATTATTTGCTTCTCCGTTGTTCCAATATGTTAATAAACATAACAGCAACTTGATACCCATAGAAAATGGAAGAAACATATCGTTTTATTAGTTTAAATTTTTTTGTGTTAAAATTTTGTCATTTATGAATCTTTGATGGTACTAATAATATAAGAGTAAGAGACGAAGAAAAGGAGGAAGACGATGAAAGAGGAACATAAATAAAATTCTAAAATTTCAATATTTTCTAAATTTTTTAGTGTTATATTTTTCTAGATAAAGGTTTTGTCATTTGAAAATTCTTTACAGGGATAAGAATGAAAGAAGAAGATGAAGAAAAGAAATCATTGCATTACTGATTTCAAAATCTGTATATTTTATGGTAATTGTATTGAGTATTATTCAACAAATTATGTATTAATGACCATGAAGAATATTAACTTTCAACTCGTAATTGTCATGAATTGAGAAGGAAGAAAAATATAAAATTACCAATATATCTTTTTATAAATCTAACTTAAATATCTGATTTCCACTAATACAATTTTAACTATCCCATTAAAATCAACGATTATAATATTTAATAATTTTTTTAAAAGTTATTTTTACTTTATTTTTTACAAAAGAAAGGAGAATTTTAGAATCATCCTTACAATTACATGTTTGTTTTAGTCTACTTTTGGAAAAGTACTTCTTTAAATATTCTCCAAATGCTAGAAGAAACTTAAGATTAACCAAGAAGACACTAATTCCTTTTAGCTTCACAAAATTTTATTGGAAAAATTGGTCAATAATTGACCAAAGAAAAGAGTTCGAGCAACAAATTAGGATCTCAGTCACTTTAAGTACTAAGATTTTCCACGTGTTGATTAATAATACACATATTTTTGGAGTATATTCCAGGCTGGCCTTTTCACTTTAAAAAATAAATTTGTATCCTATTATTAATTTGTAACCTACCCCATCAATTTTCACCAATTTATCCTGATCTTGACTTCATTTAAAGCAGTTGTTACTATTAGTTTCTACTTCCTGGTAACAATATGACTCTAATTACGACATGTTATTGTACTTTGTGTTTTGTTTCCTTTTAATTGAGTCAAATTAGAGTTTATTATACTTCTAGCAAGCTGTTTTCCCATAAAACAATATTTCGAATTCGACTCTTGTAAATAGAAAAAAATAGATGCTCAAAGAACTTTACTCCCGTGAATCCACTCGAGTTAGAATCCAACGTGCCTTTCGAATACAAAAGTGTGCAAAATCAATAACATTGGTTATAAAAATCAACTTCAAATTTTTACCCCCCAGTGACTAAGGCTTCATGTCTTGGTCCACGGTACTTGATCTGCCAAATCTCAACGTCATGTCCCCTTTCATACTCTCTAACATACTGTGGAATTTGAGAGATGTCCATCCGCTTCCCCACAAAATTAGGTGTGCTTACAGGCTCAAGGCTTTCAATTTCTGCAATAAATTACATGCATCAAGCATTCCATGTTATAAATATCTACGTGAATTTAATACACACTAAAAGTACAATATTCCTGACTCTTCTATGTGCTTACCATCCTCATCCTTGATATAGCTTCGAAAACGTGAATATCCATTTGCAACAACATCAAGGTCAGAAAGAGAGAAGTTGTATCGCTTTTCCAGAGCCATGTATAACACCTACAAATAGATGAAATCAAATAACTACTATTGTATAAGTGATTACATTGAAGGGCCCCAAAACAGACCATTCTTACAACATTTCCTGCCCACGCTCCATACTCATCAGAGTATATAGTTGATTATTTTAAAAACCCTCACCAATGAGGGATGTTAGAAACTAAAGAAGGGACAGCCTTACAAGATTTGTGAATCACAATAGAGTCATAACACCCTGTTAATGTATACCTTTGTTGAACCCCTTGACATTAATCTCTTTAAGGTACTGAAAAATGCATCAGTCAGCTCATCACTATAAATAACATCAGCTGCTACAAGCAAAGAAGCATTTTCTGCATCTTCAATCTCTGTGAAAGTCCAGGAATACCTGGGTGATCCATAAAATGGCTGTGATTTGCATCCGATATATACATTAACAAATAGTAGAAAGTTGTACTTATGTTCAACTCAGAACCAATGGAAAAAGATTGCAAAAGACATATAAAAACATTGCTGTTGGAAGTAAGAGATTCAACCCCTGCTTGAGTCTATTAACTGATTGGAGACAATTAATCAAAATAATTGATTTTACCTCTGCTTGCAAGGAGCCTCTCCTATTTTAGCTTTAGGAGGCCAGCAATCAAACCAATCAAGTTCACGTACGTAAATAGTGGCTTGATAATTCAATAATCCAAAATTAAGCTGAACATTCTTTGTGCAGTTGTCAAGTATTTCATTCCCGTGGTCTGACAAATATCATCAAACTTAGAAAGAACAAAAATAAAATAAAATTATAAACAGTTCCTCACGTAATAGTTCACTGCTGTTAAGTGTTAATCAGCATCACATGAGGAAAACATTAACCAATTAATTATATCAAGTGATGCAAACTGATCCAGGTAATTCTCTATAATTATGCAATACAAACCCAATTATAATTTGAGAATAAAAATTCTCACCATGATGATTCATAGGGACTAGGAAGTGTGGCACTCAAATAAAAGAAGACACATACCTGTTAAGAACACTGTATTTCCAATTCGTGCAAGTAATAAACCCACCAAGCCTGGTTGAAAACTTGAAATCAAAAACATTTCTCCACAAATAACAAGATGTCCGTTCAAATTGACAGCTTTGCTTATTCCTCTTTGTGGATCATTAGGAGTGGCTCAAAATGTTTTATTAAACAATCAGCTGTTGAATTAAAAAAACACATGTTGTTTACTAAATATATTTGTTTTTATAGCGATAACCACAATTTATTTTCTCCTAAATCTCTCAGTAAACTTGCTTGTGTGCTTCTAAATTATCTATCTCATTAACGGAATGCTAGCAAGTAGCAACCTATTATTTCAACACTCTTTGTAATTGAGTGAAATCCTATGCTGGCCCCGTCATATAACCCAGGCCAACTTTTTATTAGTGGGGTTAATATGGGATTTCACCCAATAATAAAGGTGTTAAAAAAGGAAATTGATTGCAAGAAGTAAGAAGGAAATTTAAAAAGAAAAGTGAATATCCACAAACCAGTTCCAGCGCCAAGTTCGAATGCAATAACTCCATGAAGTTCAGAGGAACAAAATGATTTATGCAATATAAAATCAGATAGTACAAGTTCAGCTCTCCAAACCTGAATGGAAATTGGGGGTGAAAAAAATAATCCAAGTGTAGCACGGAATTTAAAAGCAAAAGGTTATCAGTAGAATTACCTGGAGACCAACATTTGGAATTGACGATGTGATGTTATGCTGGATTCTGACACTAAAGCTATCGCATGATAATTGTGCATTTGCTTTAACAATAGACAAGTTTTAGCACATGTCAGGGAAACAGAGAAACATTTTATAAATAAAAGAGAGTGTGGGTTGGAATGTTACTGAGAAGTTAGTTAGTTACTTGTGCGTCGAGGGAGAAGAAGGTCGCCGTCTTCATCAAATTCCAAATTCTGAGTTTCTAATGCTTCATCTTCGGAATCAGGAAAGTGTGTGCTGCGAGCAACATCTGAAAATTAGAAACATGTAAGGATTCCATTCCAGTGAAAAACAGAGTGGTGAATGAAACGGTGCGTTAAGGGTTGATGTACCAGATGCAGAAATGGTGAAGAGGGAGATGTGGGGCCCAGTGAAGCCAGGTGGGCAACCCAGGTGGACTTCGCTCATCACTTCCTCATCACCGCTCTCTCCTTCTTCCGATTCCATTCGCCGATTTTCTGTTGTTTTTAACTGTTTCAGGGTTTACGATACCTGTCAATGTTCCAATCTTTCGTCGAAGAAGCCCAACCCAAATGTTTAAGGATGCTTATAATAAATTTATAATATGAAATATTTTTAAATATTTAGAAGTTATTTTTAGTGAAATTTTTATAAGATTTAATTTTTTAATGTGAGAATAGTTTAAAGAAAAAGGGCATTTTTTAATTAGAAAAATGGAGGTTTGAATTGGGATATTGAAAAAGATTTTTAAAATATTATTTAATTTAAATTATAAAATTTAAGTGTTTTAGGTACAAAAATTTAAAATTAAAATTACAAGCATTCAAATCCTTACGGTTTTAAAAAATTTATTACCTCTGTAACAAGAGAAATTGTAAATATAATTTAATAAATCAGTCATTGGGTCGATTCCTGCACCTATATGTAGTTGTTTCAAAATGATCGATATTCTGATTTGAATCTTAAAAATCAAAGATGAAAATAGAGATGGAGACAAACATGAATAAAGGGAATTATTAGAGTATTGGTGTCGTCTAAGCAAAAGTAAATATTAAATCCCGCAGAGAGGGTGATGTGGGATTAACAAAAGAATAAAAGAGAAAACAAAATATGTGATGGTTGGTTGGGTTATCTTCCTCTGAGAGCTGCAAGACGAGTCAGCAAGTCATCGTAATCTGGTAAAGTAGGATGCACTGTCCTCAACATTTCTGGTACAAAGGAAGTTGCTCTTCCAAGCCCTTCTAATGTTTCTACCTTATTTGTCTCTTCCGGAGGCAGAGATGTCCCTCTAACAAGAGGTGCACATAAATTTGATTTTCTATTTCCATTATCATATTCTAGTCCTTTCAAAGGGTAAGCTTTTGTATATTGGTTTCTTGTGCTTGATTCAAAAGGAGACTGTTTCTTACTGTAATGTAGTAAAAGCCCATCCATTATCCTTTCTTCATCCCTTGAATCGCCTTCGTCTGCTGCAAGTTGCTTTGCTTTCTCAGATTCCATTCCTGCTGAATCTACTTTTGTTGGAGTTTTAGAATCTGTCACTCTGTTGGGACGTCTCCGCCTGACTGATCTTGGTATTGGCTTTACTTTTGCAACTGGTTCATGAAGATCATGATTTGATTCCTTTTCAGGTGGAGCTTCTGCTGCTGTTGTTTCCTTCAAACTGCATTCACCTTTATTCAAATTTTCTTTGACATAAGGTGGTGGAATAAGGTTGTAGGAAAATGGCTTCTTAATTTCTAGATCAACCTCATACACACTTTCTGATGAACTTGAAGAAGCCTTTGGGTCATCCAGGAATGAAATGTCAGTAGTTGTTTCATCGTCAGTGTTGGTTTGCAGCCTCCAAGACGCATCCCTGATATTCTTCCTTCCTTGAGATTGGGTATCTCTTTCATCATCTATTTTGGGGACAGCTTCATAATCATTTAGATCATGATGTTTAGGCTTCTCCTGAACAAATCAGAGGGAGATTATATGTCAATCCCAATTCATACTTACGTTGAAACAAATCAATGATAAGGAAAACATACTTGATGCAACTGAGGCGGTGAGTAAAGTCTCTGCTCCAAAGCCTTGCTATCCCATTCTATAGAGAACTCTTTGGCTAAATCATGCAATAACTGGATCTTCATTTCTTTCGAAGGAGGATCTTGCCTCAACCTTTCAACAAACTAGGGAAAAACAATTATCAAGTAAGAGATGTTAGTAATTAACAAGAGTTGTGATGTGAATAAAAGGGGTATAAGATTGGTGCCATCGATCACCTCTTGACTTATATAAGTTTCAAGAGAATTCCCATATTTCTGAGTGAACAAAGTTCTGAGGTGACGGAGTTCGGGAAGATCAGAAAACCTTGCTGCAGCATACATCAATGAGGGTATAGCTTCCTTGCATTGATCGGGGCAATCCCTAATGAAAAAAAAAATTAATGTTGTGATTATAATAACAAACTGTGGTTACCAACTTGCAGAGAAGAAAAAGAAAATGATACCTCTGCTTATAAAGGTCTCGAACATGAGCAGATATGGAAGTAGCAAACTTTGCAACGAGTTCATAGCAAGAGGACATGTTTTGCTCTATGAGAAGCCCTTCAGCCTGCTTCAAGTGCAAAGAGATTAACATCCAAATTCAATCTTTGAGATAATTTAATTAACAAAGCAATGTAAATAAAAATTACCCTTCCATATGCGTTGTAATCAAGGGAACTCCTAAGAAGTTCGGCGATATCTTTCTTAAGAAATTTCTGCACTGCGTTCCTTTTCTTCCTTATAGTCTCCAGCCTTGTCTTTATTAACCTCAAGCACGATTTACTGTTTCCAAATTTCAGTTTTTTTAAAAAGAAAATGAAAAGAAAGAGAGAGAGAGAGAAAGAAAGCAGAGAAACAGATAAGCGTTGTTTTAGATTACCATTTGGAATAGAATTTGGGCTTCAATAAAGCATCAAACATCTTTACTCCGGCGAAGGAGAATATATGGATATGGCAGAGAAGAAACTGAAATCAAGAATGAGAGAGGGAATGATTCCTTGATGACAAAGAAGGAGATTATGGAGAGAAAATGGGACATAGAAATAAGCAATAAAAAGGTTTATGAGAATGGTAACGACTAACCAGAAGCAGAGGCAATGCAATATTGGAAGATAGAGAAATGGTCACTGCAGAATCTAAAAAATCGGAAGGAGAAGCTCAAAGATGAAAGGGTGTAGGAGAGGACGTTATGCCACGTATGACGGAGTTAGTGAGAAAGAGAGAAAGATTCTTCATTCTCTTCGTAGAGACATGAGCACCGTGAGTCGTGGACTGTTACTATTAACGGTTTTCATTTGTCGGTTAAAAAAACGAGGGAAATTAATAGTCAATAATTTAGCAGTATATTTGCTAGGATCTAAGTCCAATTCCTGTGCTATAGATGTTTCCATTACAATTTGATCTCGCTCAGATTTTAAAAAAAATTAAGAATGACAATTTATTTAGCATGAAAAATACTTAATTAAAAATTTATAATATTTTGAAATTATTATTTTTACTATTAAATGCATGATTTGTAATAATTTTAAAATACTTATTCAAACACAGAATAAAGTTTTAAGATTTAATTCACAGTATACGTTTAAATGATTTTAAATTTATATTTATTTGTACGATATCAATTACAATTTTTATTTTAAATTTACATTTACATAATTTAACTTGTTTCTAAATATATGCTACAAATACTAAATAAAGAATGATAAGATTTTTTAAAAAAAAAACTATTGAAATTAAAGTAATATTTGTTGTACGATTAGGTGAATTTTTTTAATATTTAATATGTATTTTCGAGAAGTATATATATAAAAATAAAAATAATCATTATAGTATCAAATTGTAGAATCAGAAAAAATTGGCAATTAAGAGGGAAAAGTTCAAAAAGACAATTTTATTCCATTAAATTAATGAATTTAATCATGTACTTTGCTCCAACTTGCTGTCAAAGCCAAACAAACAAGGCATATAGCCATTAACGAACAATTTGGCATTCTAGAGAAAACATTCATTTTGATTTAGTAGTTAAGTATATTCTATACAATAAAAATAACCTCGCTTTAGACTCTTAACATATTGTTGATACCATTATCCCAATGATAACCGTTCTGTGCTCAATAAATAAATAACTCATAACCTAATGTCATAACTGCTAAAACAAGTTAAATAAAAAAATATTTGAATCACACAGTGACTTGAGATAGGAGACAATTGGGTGATTTCAAGATACCCAATGTCCCAGGTTGCAGGCTGGATCCTGCAGGGAATGAGAAATGGAAGCATAATTAATGAGTTAGAGTGACAAGGTAGCAGGCTAGCAGCAAGAGTGTGCCAATTGCCAATTGGTCAAACGTGGAACCAAATACCAAGTTCTTTGCTTCTTCAACAATTAATTCAACATCCAGCAAATAAATAATTTTTTTAAGAAAAGCAAGAAGACTAATTCCTGACTAAGTTTCGTTTGAGTGGTCCTATGATGTCATCTGAGACTGGCATCGAATAAAACAGTCAATTTGCGTGGTGACTCTGAACAGTTGTGTCTGTCATTGTCCCTTCAATTGCGTGCTCATTTCTTGTTAACTCAGCTACATTATTTGTTTCACTTTTACTCGGTTGCCAAATATTCGCAGGCTCCTATCATGGCTGACATGTCATGACCTTTTGATCAATTATTTAAGGACAACTTTGTTGCTTTTCTTAACTCCAATTCTTGGTTTCAAGGATCTTATAAAGAAATCATCAAAAGCTATTTTCAGGTTATGTCGTTACCAGGTTCAGTTAGGAGTGAGCACATGCAAATGTTTAATTCTATCCTTTTTGCCGAGAATATCGCTCACTTTATCCAAAAGAAAGTTTTAGGTGCCAGTTAGACTCAACAACTACCTGTCATTAGATTGTGGAATTACTGCTAGTTTTCTTTTTTCCACTCATCAAGCGAAATATATAAGAACCAAGTTATTCCTTTTTCCTGTTTTTTCTTTCCAACAAAAGTTTATGATAAGAAAACTTCCGTCATTCGAAGTTTCTAACCCAATTTTTTTATACAGGTTTTTGATATCTGAGTCAAATGTTATTAACTCACTCTTTTTCAAATTATTTTTATATTGAATACTCTTTTATTGGTTAATAAATAATAATAATATTTAAATACAAAAACTTAAATAAAGAATGATAACAGAGACATAGGAATAGTATTAGATACTCGTTCGGATAAATTTACCTTTTTATCGTCCTTTTGTAAGCTGAATTAACCCATCTCACAAGCTTTTGATATATGATTAATAGTTTCCAATTTCCCATAATTGGTAGCCTATAACTCCACCTAATGATTTATTTTGTATCTGTGAAATATGAAGAAAGGTTGTCCAGAGCAAGTAATCTTATCATATTAGATTGACAAAGTGATGGGTCATGAGAAATGGGCCAGAATAACCCGAGACCCAAAACGGACTGAAGTGGGCCAGAATCTTTCTAATTTGGGCTTCTCTCTCCTCTCTTTGGTCCTCCTTTGATTCTCTCATCTGTTGACAAAAAAAAACAAAGATTCTCTCATCTCATCAATGCAGGGAAGTTAAAAAACATATGTGCCCCACTGCCTAGACCGGGTCACCTTTTGTTCCATGACATCACCTACCGTTGGGGTAGTTGAGGGCATTTTGGCTCTGTTAGTCGCAACAAGACTTGACACTTCAATGGCTGTTTGAGATGTAGTAAATTTGATTCTTCTCCCAAGTTAGAATTGGTAGGTATGCCACCGTCTCGGTCCACTCCACAATGACAATTCAAAATCATTTTTTATAGAAAATAAAATAAAATCATCTTATTAGTTGAGAAGATACTAATACTTGGGAGGTTCTTTTTTCAAAAATGGTCTGATTGAGAGACAAACATGAAAACGGCAGAGGAAAGACAATTTTTTTTTTATTAAATAACCCTATTAACATATTTGCATTTAATAAAATCTTTAAAAATTAATCTAAATATCTTGGTCTATGTCCCTAACATGCTCTTTCTAAAATTAGATTTGTAGAGTTCTACATCTTAATTTAAATAAAATGAAATAAAGAAAATGGGCTTAGTCTGTAGAGGCTGACTAGTTGTTGATTGAAACTGAAAAAATATTGAACTAACACATGGATTGACTTGAAGAAAAATCGAAGGCATCATTTTGAACAACTGTGTGGAAAACGAAGGCAATGCTCCAAATTCCGGATGTGGCTGAAATAATGGACAAATAGACAGCGATATTATATCCCAATTTATTGGTCCAATTGTAGACTCCCAACACAACAAAACTCTTTCTACAAAAAGTCTTAGCCAATGAAAACCAGAAGATGAATACTACTGTTTAGTATTTACTACTATTAAGACTAATATGCATTGTTGTTCCCACCCAATTCCACGGTTGTAGGCTTTAACTACTGGGAAAGAAGCTGTTAATTAGCCCTGGTTGACGGTTACAGTTACAGGTCACGACTCCAACTACCTTAAGGTATTGAATTTTGATCCTTAAGGCTCTGTGCTTCATAATAATATATATTATTATTTTTCTCTTATTGTAATAACAATAACCTTAAAACTGTTCTGTTCTCAAGTACGTGGTTTGAGCCAAGATTTTGGTGTGATAAATGGTGAGGAGTGGTCTATGTGCATAAGAAAGGTAGATATCTAGCATCCGTAGACTTGCGCTTGTAGATAACAAGTAACTTGAGCTACATATGTAGTCGTAGTTTCCCTTTGACTTAATCAGGTAAGGATCATGTTAAGCAATGAGCTGTATAACTGTATGGATCAAGTAAATTTAGTAAACTCATTTTCTTGCAGCAGCTGTTGCTCTTCAAGAAGGTCTATTATTTTTTTGACAGGACCAAGTTTATCTTATGAATTGTTTCCGGGTTGGCCTCATCATCCTAAAAATTTGTCCATTGGAGCCAGTTCCATGCTTTATCATTTCTTTTGCCACTTGAGTTTGAAAGCATCAGAAAATGCCATTCTAAAATAAAATAAAAGTGATTTTTCATTGATAAGCAATGATTTTGCTCGTAGGAAACCAAACAAAAAGATATAGTCCAAACCAAGCAATTGCATGAAAATGGTGCAAATGGTCTTTTTCCTGTTTCTGTCAAGTGTCAACAACTCCACCCACATGCATACAAATCTCTATGGTTAACGTGTTTGTGGAGAATGACAAGAGTGATTTGCAATTTCAAAAGCAAATTTGGGAAATTTTGCATAAAGGGAATCTTCGATGTGTATGTCTCACAGAGGAAGAGAAAAAGAGGAATGACTGGATGAGAGTGCGAAGTGGAATTTCAAAATGCCAAATGTGCACTTAAATGACAAATATTTTAGGAGTGAAAATGTTGATTGACTCTTTTTAAGCTCTTCACACTGTTTCCCTCTTTCGTTTCAGCATTGTTACGATGAATGTAGAAAACAAACGGTGGATATGGGTTCTTGTGATAGGAGGAGCTACTGCTGTACTTATATTCTGCTACCTTTGCTGCATCATCTGGAGAAAATGCAAGATAGAAGGTATTTTTTTTATATTGGATGATTGTCAAAAATTTGTTGAAGATTTGTTATAAATTTCTTCTTTTTATGTACCTCTACTAGCTGACAGAAAAAAGGAGCAGAAGAAACTACTATCGGAAATTGGAGTCAGTAAGGTGTTTTCCACGGCCTATAACAAAACAAAACGACACCATAAAAATGGAAAAACCTACAATGAAATGCAGATATTTAGCTTTCCAATCATTGCTGCTGCTACAGACAACTTTTCAGTTGCAAATAAGTTAGGAGAGGGTGGCTTTGGACCAGTATACAAGGTAAAGTTTATCAAGGACATGAATTGAGAGCATGTAATATATTGTGAAACCTAATGAGTGTTTAATCTCAGGGGAGGCTTCCTGATGGACAAGAAATAGCAATAAAGAGACTTTCTAGTGGATCAGGGCAAGGGTTGGTAGAGTTCAAAAGTGAAGCCAAACTTGTAGCAAAACTGCAGCATACTAATCTAGTGAGGCTTTTGGGGTTCTGCATACAAAATGAAGAAAATATATTAATCTATGAGTACATGCCCAACAAAAGTTTAGACTTTCATCTGTTTGGTACGCAACTTTTATGTGCAAGATAATCTTGTAACTAATTACTTTAATACCTGGATTGCTTTACGCTTTGTAGCTTGATAATTGGTGGTTACTCTGAAACAGGATCTAACAAAAGGGAAACAATGGTTTGGGAAAAAAGATTCAGCATCATTGAAGGTATAGCTCATGGGCTGATTTATCTCCATCACTTTTCAAGATTAAAAGTGATTCACCGGGATTTGAAAGCTAGCAACATATTACTTGATTATGAGATGAAGCCAAAAATTAGTGATTTTGGCATGGCAATAATATTAGATTTGAATGGAATTGAAGAGAAGACAAAAAGAATTGTTGGAACATAGTAAGTGTAAACTTCATTACTTTTTTTTTTCTCTTCATTTACTTCTAAAATAAACATATTTATTCACTGATTATTTCAGTGGTTACATGTCTCCGGAATATGCTATGAAAGGCGTTATTTCAACAAAGACTGATGTGTTTAGCTATGGAGTCTTGGTTCTTGAGATTATAAGTGGGAAGAAAAATAATTGTCGCTGTCATTCTGATTACCCCCTCAATCTTATTGAATTTGTAAGTAACTGAATTCAGGTTCTATCTGTAACATCGTAGTTTTGGTAGTGCTTTTAACTTCTGCCAACATTTTCTAGTAATTCTCAACATTTTTAAGACTAGCAGGCTTGTTATTGCAGGCATGGCAACTCTGGAATGAAGGTAAAGGTGTCGAGTTAATAGATTCATCAATGCTTGAATCATGCCATACAGCAGAAGTATTACGATGCATTCAGGTGGGCTTGTTATGTGTACAAGCCAATGCAGCAGATAGACCAACCATGTTAGAAATTTATTCAATGCTTGCAAATCAAACTCTTTTCCTCCCTGTCCCTAAACAGCCTGCATATTTTAGTGATCCATTTGCAAATGAAACAAATGCGTCAGTGGGAAAACAAGAATCTTTCTCCAACAATGAGGTGACAATTTCAGTGATGTATGCCAGATAATGATAGTTTCCAAGCATCCTTATGTAAAATTGAATGAACACGAAACGCAAGCTTTTGCTGTATGATTAAATATTTCCAATTTCATCTAGGGTATTAGATTGAAACACTTTGTCTTACTCTACTTAATGTCATTGTTATTCTGTTTCGTTATAAGAGCATGAAGAGTAAAAGAGCACTAAATAGCTAACTTTATTAAAGATTGAGATTGTTATTTTCATGTTATTATAAAGTTCTAATTTGGTTATATCTATAGCAAGTAAGAACTGCTGGAATTAAATGCGTTCTTTTCAGTCTGGTCTTATTAGTAACAAGATAATACATTCAAATACGTTCAAACAGCAATGAACCAGGAAAAATAAAACAGCAAAAAAAAAAAAAAAAACAAACAAACTTACATACCAAATTTTGAGGCTGCATGAAGAAGAATGTACTACTGACACAAATGGACATGCATATTTCAAAGCAAGACAGAGAAGACGAATTAGTTGAGGAGGAATTACCGTCTGAAGAAGCTTCTTGGAATGGACGCATTAGATAGCATGTGTGTGTAAATCTTCCGTGGATATTCTTCTTATTGTAAGATACTAAGATGTTTATTTTGCGCATCTTTATACTACTATTTGTGTAGATAGGAACAATGAAAACAATAGAAGACAAACACAAAATTCTTAAACCAAAACCATTTCACAAAATTCCAATAAATTTTATTTGATGTGCATAAAATTCCTCCAATCCATCAGATTTCAGATCGGTCCTCGAAACACTTTGAAAAATATCTAAATCACTTGTTAACACTGTCTTTTATCAAGGAAAAATTTTAACCATGTGCCCAGCTATGTGGTGATTTTGATTCAGTTTTATTTTTCCCTCAGGTGAACCCTCATATTTTTTATTGTCTCTATCTAGACTGATTCCTTTTTAGGCCAAAAGCGGCCCCTTTTGTTTGAACTTACGGGAGTTGTCGCCTTATGGTTTATGCACTGCTATAATACTTATTATTGCCATTTGGCGGCATCATAAGAGTAGAGGAAAAGTAAGAAGATATCATTGCATGTATAATAATAATTATAATATTGGATTGGTTGTCCTAGTCCACTTTCACCAGATAATTTAGAAGGGATGAGTTCATATTTCATCTTCTCATGGCATTATATATATATTGATACGAAGTTTTTGGGTCATAAAAAGAAATAAAGATGATTAGAATAATTCACTCTTCCTCTTTAGCACTAATCCTTACCTTAACCTTCCTAGTCCTTGTTGTACTTGATACCTGTAATGCAGAATCAGATGACATAGCCATTTACTGGGGTCAATTTGATGGTGAGGGAAGCCTATCTGAAACATGTGCAACAGGAAAGTACTCCTACGTAATCTTAGCTTTCCTAAACATATTTGGAAATGGCAAAACCCCTGAAATCAACCTTGCAAGTCATTGTGACCCTGCTTCCAATGGTTGCACTATGTTAAGCACAGACATCAAGAATTGCCAAAAGCAAGGGATCAAAGTCTTGCTCTCCATTGGCGGGGCAGATGGAGATTATGGTCTAGCTTCCTCTGATGATGCTAAAAAGGTTTCTGATTACTTGTGGAACAATTTCTTGGGTGGCACCGACAACTCCTCTTCACGCCCACTTGGGGATGTTATATTAGATGGCATTGATTTTGACATAGAGAACTCCACACAACAACACTGGGAGGAACTTGCACGTTACCTCAAGTCACATAACACCTCAAGAAAAAAGGTTTACTTGAGTGCAGCACCTCAGTGCCCATTTCCTGATAGTGAAATGGGCATTGCCCTTGACACAGGAGTTTTTGACTATGTTTGGATACAGTTCTACAACAATCCTGGCTGTGAATATATCCAAAGTAATGTCAACAACTTGTTGAGTTCATGGAATGAATGGACAACATCATTAAAAGCAGGAAAAGTCTTTTTGGGGTTGCCAGCATCTCCTGCAGCAGCAGATAGCAGGTATGTTCCAGTTGATTTGTTGGTATCTACCATTCTTCCTGTCATAAAGAAGTCACCTAATTATGGTGGTGTAATGCTGTGGGCAATATACTACGATAAGCAAACTGGATATAGCACCTTCATCAAAAGTTCTCTTTGCACACAACAAAACCCCTCTGAATGCGGAGGAAATGACAGTCACAAAGGCAAGTCCAAGTCCCGAACCTGCATAGTTGTTCTGTATTGCTATTTGTTTCAGGACTAGTTAGAGATGTATGAATTAAGCTTTGGTGCTTCGTAAAACATAGGATATATCTAACAACATGGGCATGAATTGATTTATTATTTTTATTTGCATATCATTTACTATCAGCAAAAAAGTGGTGGATATGGCTTATCATTGGGGTGGGAGCAGCCCTTGCAATATCTCTCATCGTCTTCTATTTATGGTTTATCTTAAAGAGAAAAGACAAAGCAGAAGGTAATTTCTACGTAATAAATTTTAAATATGGTGTTATCATTTCACGAAGACTTTTTAATTACAACTTATTCTTTAATGTCAAAACACTAGAGGATGGAAAAATGAACCAAAAGAAGGCATTACCTGAAATTGAAGGCAATGGAGTGGCAGTGCTTCCTGAAAGAGAGTGATTGTTTATGAGGTAATATCTGAACACCCACTTGAATTGAAACTAATTGAATAAGCACATGACAAACAGATGCTTTCAGGGAACATCGATTGTGGGCAAGAAGAAATAGCAATAAGAGGACTTTCTACTACTTGAAGAGCACTGGAAGAATTCAACTTAACCGTGGATATGGCTTACCATTTATTTTGAAGATCTTTGTAAACATTACAAAAATTGAGGCACCACTCAAGAAAATGTTACAATTGTACAAGGTCGTGTCAGATACTTGGACGTATATCGTGATTCACCGTCGGTAGATAGTATATCTTGAATTATTGCCAATTTATTGTGCCACATATGATTGATTAAGATTCTTTCCCTAGCTGTTGATTTTTCTTTTAACTACTATTTTGTTCCTTAAAATGGTTCTTAAAAATGACAGTACGTTGGGGTCCTAGTTATGGTTCTTCCATTCCATTGAATTCAAGTATTGTGCACCTTTTCCTCATCTTGAATCATGTCCTTTCTTCCTCCCATCAAACTTTGAAATGTGGTTAAGGAATATGGTTAAGGAAATGGACCAAAATAAAACAATTCTGCAACCGTAGCTACTAGATAAAACAACCAACAATAGAATTATGCAGTAAAATAATTCAACGATGCAAATATACAATTTCTCGGTGTAACATCAACCGAAGAGATTAATAAACGTAAAATAGACGTCATACCAATTCCCCCGTATTTTTTGGGGGTGAATGACCTTTATAAATACTCCTCATATATCTCTTTCGTTAATATTCAAATTTCTTTGACAATACTAAACACAACGTGATGTTAATAATTCACCAATATTAAAATTAAAAGTTTAAATGATTCTATTTCTAGATTTTAATCTCTGTATAAATGGAATGTTTTTAATCAATGAATGCAATTAATTTTGTAACATATTTTTAATCTGAGTTTTCTTACCACGTTGCATGCATCTACACGTACGTACTCTACAATGTACCGAATATTAACTGGTAGTAAATATTGGTGTTGTGATGAAAAAAGACTGGACCGTGTGCAGTCAAAAAGTCAATTGCTCGGGTTGGGGTGGAAAGAGAGACGAAATGAGTTAAAGGCGTGGATGATTTTGTAACCAAACCGCGTGAAGGTGTTGTTGGAGATCACTTGGAGTCACAAGTCAAAGATGTTAGATTGGATTGATACACAGAAGTCACAAGTGGAAGTGAAGATAATAGAAGCATAGCAAGATGAACAAAACTCTTCTGCTTCCCTTTCTACTTCTACTGCTCTTCCTACTACTTCACCCCTCTGTAGCCGAAGACATTGCCATTTACTGGGGTCAAAACGTGAAGGAGGGAAACCTTAGTGAAACATGTGCAACAGAAAAATACTCCTTTGTCAACATCGCATTCCTTTCCACCTTTGGGAATGGCCAAACCCCTCAACTCAACTTGGCAGGTCATTGTGACCCTTCTACTAATGAGTGCGCTGCGATTGGTAGAGACATTAGGTATTGTCAAAACCAAGGAATAAAGGTGCTCCTCTCTATTGGAGGAAGCAGTTATTCTCTATTAGCTTCCTCCGAGGATGCTAAAAATGTATCGGATTACTTGTGGGACAATTTCCTAGGTGGCTCCTCATCATCACGCCCACTTGGAGATGCAGTGTTAGATGGCATTGACTTCGACACAGAGCAAGGCAATGCATCATTCGTGGAAGACCTTGCACGTTATCTTTACCTTCTTTCACAAACAAAAAAACAACCTGTGTACTTGTCTGCAGCACCTCAGTGTCCATTTCCTGATTCCATGCTGGGTTCTGCCCTTGGTACTGGCCTTTTTGACTATGTCTGGGTACAATTCTTCAACAATCCTATATGCGACTATACCGAAAAAAATTTCAACAACTTTTTGAGTGCATGGAAGCAGTGGACAACATCGTTGAAAAAAGGAAAATTATTTCTGGGGTTACCAGCAGATGAAGCTGCAGCTCCAGGTGGTGGTTATGTTCCAGCTAATGCATTAGTGTCTCAGGTCTTACCTGCAATAAAGTCTTCACCAAATTATGGAGGTGTGATGTTGTGGTCAAGGTACTATGATAAAATGTCTGAATACAGTACCCACATTCAAAATTTAACAATAAATCCGACAGTGAAGCCTCTATGCACAAATCAAAGTCTTCCCACGTGCAGGAGCCATGATAGCGGTTTTGTGGAACGTTTTGGTAACATGTCCACGGTTGGTACCAAAGTTTATGTCGGCGTGGACAATGATCTGCAGTGCTGCGAGATTATATGTAGGAACAATTGTTCCTGTGACGCCTATGCTCCAATAAATCACATTAACAAAACTGGATGTCAGATATGGGGCAAAGGAACCAAATTCCTTAAAGCTTCTGGGGAATTAGCTCTGCCAATCTACGTTTCCGCAATGGCCCAAGAAGAACCGCCAATCGATGTTGTTAAACACGAAGGTATGTTTAGAGTCCGTACCTCAAAAGGTCGTTATGTTGCCGTTAAGATGTCTCATGTCAGCTAGTAATGAAGTCAAAATTTTGAGCGATCCGCCTCCTAGGAGCTATCTTTTGACAGGCTCAATTTTTAAATACTAATGACAATCTTAAACGACATAATTAAGAAATAAAAAAACTAATATGTTAAATGAAAATTATCAGCTTGGTTATTTCTCTTGACTCTTTGGAAGGATGTCCAGGCTCCTTGCTATAGGATATGGATTAAGCATGCGTAAATAATAAACCCTCTAACCTCCATCTAAAATTTTTGCCTCAATAACATTTTGAGAGTTGTAAATTATCTTCCGGTGGCTTGCAGTAAACAGGTGGTGGAAATGGCTCCTCATTGGGGTGGGAGCATCTCTTGCAATACCTGTGATCTTCTATTTATGTCGTGCCTTGTGGAGAAAATACAAAGCAAAAGGTAACTAACACAGTAAAATTTAACTATGGTTTTACTAGTTTTAAGCATTTAAGGCCTCTTTATAACGTATATTTTCATGTCACACTGCTAGTGGATAGAAAAGCGACGCAGAAGAAGCTGTTACATGAGATTGGAGGTAATGCAATGCTTTCAATGGTGTACGGCAAAACCATAAAAAATAAGAACAAGGTAAAGACAAGCAGTGAGGTTGAAATATTCGCTTTCGAAAGCATTGCTGCTGCCACAGAGAATTTCTCAGCTGCTAATAAGCTAGGAGAGGGTGGTTATGGACCTGTTTATAAGGTAATTTGAAACTATATGCATAAGAATTAATCTGCATGCTTAAATTTGAAAGAATAATAATTGATATAATGACAACTTCAGGGAACATTAAGTGATCGGCAAGAAGTGGCAATAAAGCGACTTTCTAAAAGTTCAGGACAAGGGCTAACAGAATTTAAGAATGAAGCCAAACTCATGGCCAAACTCCAGCACACTAATCTTGTAAAGCTTTTAGGATTCTGCATCCAAAGAGATGAAAGAATATTGGTCTATGAGTACATGTCTAACAAGAGCTTAGACTTCTACCTATTTGGTAGGCTTTCATTTATGATCTTAACAAAGGTAAGAATGTGGCATATGTTAGCCTATACCATATTTACATGTATCCTTACCTTTAAACAGATTCAACTAGAAAGAATTTGCTAGACTGGAAAAAACGCTTGAACATCATTGGAGGCATTGCTCAAGGACTTCTTTATCTTCACAAGTATTCAAGATTAAAGGTGATACATAGGGACCTCAAAGCAAGCAATATATTACTTGATGATGAGATGAATCCTAAAATATCTGACTTTGGCATGGCTCGAATATTTGGTGTATCTGAAGAAAACACAAATAGAGTTGTCGGTACATAGTAAGTTTATAAATTTTCATGCATTTCAAAATTTCTGTCTTCTATTTATCTTTATGCATGCAAACAATCTCTCTTTGCAGTGGATACATGGCTCCTGAGACAATAAATGGGGTAGTGTCCGTCAAAACAGATGTATTTAGCTTTGGTATATTGCTATTAGAGATACTTAGTGGCAAGAAGAATAATAGTCGCTATCATTCGGATCGCCCGCTCAATCTCATAGGATATGTAAGTTTCTCAAATGAATACTAGTCCCTTAAATTTATGCTTATCAAAGGTTAAGTTTTTTTCAATTTTTTGGTGGATGTTGGGATTCTTGCAGGCGTGGCAGCTGTGGAATGAAGGTAGAGCTTTGGAACTAATAGACCCAGCATTAAATGAATTAAGTTCTCAAAATGAAATTTTGAGGTGTATTCATATTGGCCTCGTGTGTGCACAAGAACAAGCAACAGACAGACCAACAATGTTAGATATTGTTTCTTTTCTATCAAACGATACAATCCAACTTGCCCAACCAAAGCAGCCAGCATTCTTCATCAATGTGCTTGTGGAAGAGTCAGAGCTTCCTTACAGCAAGCAAGAAATTCATTCCTTAAATAAAGTAACAATCTCTAGTACGCATGGAAGATAATTCTACAATTATGTACCCGGTCAATTTGATGATTCCATACAAGAACACTTGACTTCTGACTTCCACTTTAAATTCTCAAGAGTAATGATAATTTCTCTATTTTTTGAATTCTACTTGTTATGATTTAGGGGAAAATAATAAGCTCACTGTTTAAACAGCAGAAAACCACTTGTAATACTAAAAACTATTAAGGAAGTCTCTGTTGTCGTGTCATTGTAATTAATCTATCTTTTTTACACTAATAAATTAAGATTTTTAAGGCAATAAAGTATAAAAATCATAATTTGATGTGCCTACAACATCATTCCAGCTTACTTCAAATGAAATAAGTTTTGGGATTCAGTCAGGTTTAGGGGTTAAACTAATATCGGTCCCTTAGAAAGCTTCTAAACAACGAGTACATTTGGGTCTTAGTTATGCTTCTAACCCATTGAATTCAACTTCATGCCCTTTTCCCATAAGATGCTGTTAAATTAAGCAAAATTACTGGCAACGGAGAGAGAGAAGAATTGGTTCAACATAGAATTGGAAAAAGGAAAATGGTAAACAAGATTTGAGTTCCAATCCGGTTGACAACGTGTTAAGGTATACAACATTTACCCTGTGAGCAGTGTAAGAAACATAGTACGTTGGTTTTGACGTGAATATAGAGTACAGGTTTAAGAACAATATATGGACCAAAACCAAAACAAATCTGCAGCGGTAGCTACCCGATAAAATTACCAATAGACTTACGCGGTAAAATAATTCAATGATTCAGAATTGAATGAGATAAAATTAGTCTTCGAAAGAGTTCATGAAAATAACTTGTATAAATAACATCTTTTTAAATTATTTCAATAAATTTTATTATCAAATTTATGTGCTCAGAACTTACTGAATAAGTGTTCAATTGAGTTGTGTACAATCCAGAATTCCAGATGACTCCAGTAATTCTTGGTAAGTGAACGTGTCTAGAAAAAAAGGAAGAGAAGAAGGGTTTCAATCTGACTTGCTCCATTACTTTCAACTTCATACAAGTGAAGGATAATTACAATGACTACTACTGATACAATTAAGAGAACCTGTTCCATGGAATGCATAACTACACTTTAGATTAACTGAGAACATAATCTAATAATTTTAAATCAAATCTCAGTTCAGAGTATACTAGAATTTTTCCCTATTTATATATAATCTAATAACTAAACAACTCATGCTTTCTGGCCTAATTTCCCGAGCCAGCAGCCGGCTCACCTGCTTCATAACAAAATCATTGTAATAGTCATCAAATTTTTGTATATTTCAGTCTTAGTTTAGTCGTTTTATCGTCATCCTGTAGTATTTGATGGCATTTAAAAAATTAGTCGTTTTCCCATGGAATATTCTCGTTAACAAAAAAGAATGGGACACATACGTTGACAAGTTCGAGGTAAACAAAGAATTGCAAGGTACAACCGCTTAAAATAACTGCCATAATTAGCTGTCTACATTTTACAATTCCATGGACCTGTGATTTGACAACATATTCCAAGTTAACTAGCCTTCTGTTAAAATACCAAATGGGAACATTGGGTACAGCAAGAGTCCTCCTCTTTCTCACATTCACATTCAACTTCACAAGGCTTCAGTGTTTTAGGAGTGGGAATGACACATTAACGCAAGGAGATCACTTTGATCTGGGCACTATAACCTCAGCTTCTCAGGACTACGAACTAGCTTTCTTCTTTTTTCGGGTCTATTCAAGTTCCAGAATGTACCTTCAAATAACAAGCGTCGTAGGTTTCCCCTGGGTTGCCAACCAAAATGCCCCTCTTAAGGGACAACCGAAACTCTTAATTGATGATTACGGTAGTTTGGAAATCTTACACGACAACGATACCAAGTCCATAACGTTATACTCGAGTGAAGCTACACATAAAATCAATGCCACAGCCACTCTGCTTGATACCGGCAACTTCGTACTGCGCGAAATGAACCCAGATGGCATTGTGAAACAGATTTTGTGGCAAAGTTTTGACCATCCCAACAACATTTTGTTGCCAGGAATGAAACTAGGATTCAATAGCAGAACAGGGAAGAATTGGACCCTAACATCTTGGATCGGCCCACATACACCTGCAATGGGCTCCTTCACTCTAGCTGTGGACCCAAACAAAAAGGATCAATTGGTCTTAATGTGGCAAGGCATCCCTTACTGGACTAGTGGCCCATTTATTGATGGCGCTTTTGTCAATTTGAAATTGAACCCATCGGCAAGCGAGTATAAAATCTACTTCACCTACGTGTCAAATGAAAATGAAACATTTTTCATTTATAATTCCACGTCACCCTCGGGGTTGGGAAAGTTTGATTACCTTGGTTTGAATTCAAAAGGTGAATTATACGGCAAAGGTTCTGTTTCTTGCAGCAGTGACAACCCTGCTCGGGTGAGTGGATGTGTGCATATGAGGTTCCCAACTTGCAGGAACCAAAATGCCTATGTTTCCACCATCAACTTCAAGCATGGTAATATGTCCCAACGAGGGTACAAGAATGAGGATTTCGACATGCTCTCTCTTTATGATTGCGGAGTCAAGTGCTTGAATAATTGCTCTTGTTTTGCCTACTCCTCCACAACTAAGGATAACACTGGCTGCCAAATGTGGGATTGGAGGACCAAATTTCTCACGTCTTCTACTGGAAGACCAATTTACTTCATCAACAATAGCTCTGACGTAGGAGGGAATTTTGGAGGTAACTTCATAGCTAGAGTAGTAAATATAGTAATGTATGTGCACTCATCATATTCAAAAGCATTGTTGGTTATTGCTCTATTTCTTTCTTTTGCTGTTTTGGGTTTCATATTCCTATTAGGTAAATGCTAATTAATTTTTTTCAGAGAACTTCAAAAATATCTCTCTCCTCTCATTTCTAACTCAGTTCAATGTAATTTTTCATAAAGC